ATTGAGATAATATCTCTATCTTCTTTTTAACTTCATTTTATGTTCATTTTCTTTTTATTTTATGTCCATTCTATATGATTAGGACATGGATATGTTTTTTGCCTATGGAATTTAACATGAAACATAGGAGTTCACAATGAAGTGGAAAAAAATTATATTTCTGTTCAATAATTTTTTAATATCACCGTTTTATCATAGTCAGTTTAATTATTCTTTTTGCGATCCTTCTTGTTATAATGACTGTAATTGATGAATTTTCCATTTGTAATTTATGTCATTACCTCTTTATGTGATATGTACTGTACAAGATCGTAGTAGTACCTATATTTCAGTCTTAACTTGGTGTATTCTTATGAAGAAATAACAAGCACCTATAATTCAATTACTCCAAACGAAAATGTAAGATAAAGATTTGGCATATGAAGGGTTGGAACAACTACAAAAGCGGCCTTCCTGATATTCATTTAAATTACTATAAGAAGGGGCTTTGTAATAGATTAAGTATTTCTAGATATTCAAAAGCAACCATCTTTTAAAAAAAAGCTGTTTAACTTATAAGCCAAATAAAAGCTAGAAATAAGAGCTCCGCTATGAACGAGAATATATGGAGTTTACTATTTAGTCATCATTGAATTTATTGAGCAAAATTGCATTGATCATATGTATTTTTTTAAGTCTCATATGAGTAGACAATTAAGAATATGTTATACACCTGAGAAATATAATTAGATGGTGTATATATCTAGCCTTAATCCTAAAAACACTATCTTGAAAAAGCCCGATCTAACGGGCAAAACGCGTAGATCATGTTGGCGGGATTTCTGTATTTGAATTTGTGAAGGCAAGTACAGCAGTACGCGACAGCCGGCACTCCAGGGTAGACATCGGTCCGAGTGCACAGGACCGGTGTGCAAGCAACTATCAACGGAGTGGTAACAACATCAACTCTGGCTTGTACATTGTAACACTCATGCTTTCACCATGCTTTCCACCACAAGATCGTGTAAGGGTTTCTCTTATGGGGTTTTTTTATGTATCAAAAGGGAATACATTTTGTAACAGTATTACGCTATGTCAGTGTCTTTTTGAGTTAAGGTGGGACATAAAGTTACATTGAAGGACACAGACTTCAACTACAAGATTTGGCAAACAGTTACAATTCCTGATTATATGTGGACATATCCTTCCATTAATTGCCATTAGAACCCTAACATTTATTTTAATAATTCTGCATTTTATGCGGTTTCCCTATTTTGGACTACAAGGGAATATCTACTAAGCGCTGATATTATCTTTATTTTAGTTTCAGCAGAGTTTAGTAGGTAGCTACTGTTGAGGTAGAGACTTAAATAGGAATATTAATCTGTTAATTATACAATAATTAAGCAATACAATTCAACATGACTTTTTTATTTCTTGATGTTACAAACTGCCATATGTAACTGGCCCTTTAAATGACAAATTGCTGTGCTTCCCCGGGTTGTGGAGAATAATTTTTGCCAGCCTCCTTCCTCATGAGTATGGCCCCTGGGAGATTGTGCCCCTGAAAACTTATGGACTTTTATTGGGTGTGTATGGCCCTTTAAGAACTGTCTGGGAACATATTGTAACTTTGGTGACTATGTCCCCAGATCTGTAAAATATCTTTTTTCCTGGCTTTCTCCCACTTGGTTCAATAAATAGGGCTTACTGAACCAAGTACCACACAGGCGGACCACCCAGAAGTGGAAGTGTGCAGGCAATTTACCTCCCAGGCTGGGAGCCTGCTGTAGGTAAATTGCCGACCACCGGGTGGCCGCAGTTCGTGCAAACCAACATGTGGCGGCGGCCATCTTTATTCATTGGAACGAGGTCAGCAGTATGTGTAGCCAAGTCCATGGAACTGAAATCGGCTACAAATTTTCACGAACACCGCTGACCCTTACCTTCTTCTACACTCCGTTTTCAGCTTCACAGACTAAGTCCCGTTCGGCAGTTTGAACTCACTGCTATACTAAGCCAAATGCATGAATGGCCTTGTTCGTGCATTTGAATGGGACTTAGTCATTTTTCACCCTGAAATTGACCGACTGCACCGCCCAAATCTATGGAACTGTTTTGGGAAGAAAAATGTGCTTGCGGTCGGTCATAAAGGGCTTCCGTCTAACTTTTGATCTACTGAAGGGATTTGTATGATTCTTTAGAGTGTTTATGTTTAAAGTATGCTGATTCTGAATATGTGGTTTTTAGGAAGATTGGATGTATGGTTTTAAAGTTATAGTACATGTATAAAAACTTCATTATTCCTGCCTGTGATAATTATGTTAAACCATTGTGTGCCATAATTAGATCACAGGCAGAGGGGAGGATTTTGTGTGTAATTGCTGGGAGTGTTTTCTGTAATGTACGTGTGTTATTGGTTGTTCTGTAAAACCCTGTGGGTGGTGCTATGTAAGGAAAACCTGCATAAAAGAAGGCCCTTTCGTACCAAATAAATCAGAATGACTTGACCCTCTAACTTGCAGCCTTGACTCATGTTTGTAGTGGACAGCTGTAATCACTACAGGGATTGCTGTGCTCTTCATACTCCCTTAGCCACTGAGCTCTTGTAAGAGCTCTTGTTCTCGATCCCGCTTCGCTCTACAGAAGGAAGAGGTTCACCTACTGGAACCTGGTCATAGGTCCAGGTTGAATAGCATACGGTGAGATCCTAGCCCAGCAGCAGCAGTTCATGGAGTCTACAGTACTTATGGTGTCTACGCAGTAGTTATGGTATTTGTAATGGACCGTTTTGCACACAAGGGGTAAAAACAGTTTAGTAGATCTTCCCCTTCCAGAGATGCAGGCACAGCTACTGCAGAACACCAATCCGCCGAACAGGAAACCATATGAATGCTGTAAGCAGCCGAATAGTAAAAACCATACGAATAGGTTTACACTCCTGAAACAGCATACAGTAAATCCCCCCAAGAACGAGACAAACGTCCGTGTTGAGGGTCAAGCAGTGAACAGACAGAGCTGTGGGTTTATTGTGCTTATGTACACATTCTTACACATTAGTACCACCCACAGGGTTTTGGAACACAACCAATAAACACATACAATACACTCAGTCACTCCCACACAAAATCCTCCCCTCTGCCTGTGATACAATTAACTTACACAATGGGTAATGTAATTTAGCACAAGCAGAGAAATACAATTTTTCCACATTATTCATAACTTGAAAAGTATGCATCACATTCACATATAACGTACATTTTCAGAATCAGCATACTCCAAATACAAACATACGTCAAAATCATACAAATTGGTCCAGTGGTTCAAAAGATAGATCGTAGTCCTTTGTGACTACAGGAAGCATGGCTTTTCTGCCCAAAACCAGTTCCACAGAGTCTTCTATCCTGGAGATAATTAGAAGTAATCCAATTATCTCCAAAGACAGAGGCAAAACTCCATTGAACACATGGCAGCAAAAAGACAGTAAAATACAATAAAATGCACGATGTTACATTTATGACATAAAATACAGACATGCAACATATGCCCAGATAGCTTAGGTCTGAGCGCACATTAATACTGAATGACGCTCAGACCACAAACACATACAGTTAAATTGCCATGGAGCCAAAGTCTTTTATTACATGAATAGGCTCCATGGCATACCTATCTGGGTTATATGAGTTCATTCAGTAAATCCAAGAATCTACCAAACACCGGGCAGAAAAGCACGAATAAGTCTTTTCTGCAGTGAAAAATGTCTTTTAACATGGGGGCCATAGTCCAAAGGCAGCAGGCGAGCAACCAGGCTTCTCCAATGCAATGTGGCGAGATTGCTCTCGTCACAGTATTTATGGTCCTTTGGTGAGCGCTAGGAGCATCCTTTTTATGGTCCAACCTCCAGCCAGCCTGGAGGCAACCGTAACACTTGATATTGTGGTCAAGTATGTGCATACAATATACAAAAAAAATGTTTAATATTAAACATCAATTTACCAGAAAAAAATTATAGTAACAAACTATAACAAATTTTAGCAGTAACATTGAATTACAGTACAATACGAACATACAGTATAACTCATAAATGCCCCCAGCCCATGTAGAAAATGATAGCTGCTGGTCTACATCCTGGGCAAGGGAATAGGTTAAATCCACCTTAACTCTCCTACTACTGCCCCAAGTGGTGCATCTAAAATATTAACATTATTTTTTATGACATGATTTGTTATTATTTAGACTAAAACTTGACAAACAGATACAGCCATGACAAAGATGAGGCATGACTTGTTATTTCTTATAGTTATTACTTATATGACAAACATTTTTTATTTAAACTCTTTATTTAACCCCTTAAGGACCGGACTGTTTTTGCAATGTTTTACATTCGCAACCAGGCATATTTTTATACTTTTGTGGTGTTTGTGTTTAGCTGTAATTTTCCTCTCTCTCATTTAATGTTCCCATACAAATTATATATTGGGTTTTTTTTCAGGACAAAAAGAGCTTTCTTTACATACCATTATTTATATAATCTCATCTAATTCAATTTTAAAAAAATATGATGAAAAATTTAAAAAATACATGTTTTTTTATTTTCACTTGAAAAATCTTTTACTCATCAACAAAAGTGAATGAAAAAAACTGCTAAATAGATCCAAAATTTTGTCCTGAGTTTAAAAATAACCAGTGTTTACCTGCTTTTTTTTTTGGCAAGTTATAGGGCTATAAGTACAAGTAGGATATTGCGGTTTCAAAACATACATTTTTAAAATTTATCAATAGTGACATTGTAACACTATTATCTGTCATAAATCTCTGAATAACACCCCACATGGACAAACCATGTGTCCCAATACAACTTACAAATAACGTACTCACCATATGTACACACCAATGCATTTTCAACACTCCTGACTCATCAACCTTCCAGACTTGTAATAGATTTACTAAAGCTCTGGAGCTTCAAAGGGCTCCCATACAGGTATCATAAATACACCTTCAAGGAATATAGCATGCCCTCACTTACAGTCAGCACAACAGAACAATTGGCTGTAAACACACTCATAGCCAAGATTTGCAGAGGGGTCTTCCAATCTCCACCATTTACAGCATGGCACCAAACACAAACACATTGGTATTGTCACAAGGAATCTTCCCTTAAACAAAGACTAACCATAAACTTATTGGCACCACACACCTCCGCTACCCCAAGTCTCAACTCCCTCATACCCTCCGAGGAGTTTCCTTACTATACAACACCATTGATCTACATTTACAGCTATCACTCAAGCATGGGTTAAAGATTGGTTAAGTAAGACCAATATCATCAACGCAGTAAACGGCTACCATCTACCCTACACACTGGCACTTACATAGCATAAAATGGGCAATCCTTTCCCCGCTCAACTTTTGGGTTACAGATTCACAGATACTCTGTGCTGGTTATGATAACATATCCAGAGGCCTTATAGTCATACACTATCTAGAAGACTTTTTGTTGATCAAAGATAACATATTTTTCACTAGAAGCCTCACGGCAGCTTAGTCTGGTTGACCACTTGGGCGTCCCAGTACCCCATAAGAAACAGAAGGCCCAGACACTATCATCAGATTACTGGGCATACGACTTGAGTCGGCATCCATACACGCAAGTTACCACAAGACAAATAGTGAACATTCTCAACTACATCAATCACTACCTCCTGCTTAGTACTTACAACTGCAAGGAACTACAATCCCTACCAGGTTCCTTAATTTTGCCATGCCAATCATACCACAAGACTACACTTTCACATCCAGAGTACTTTCCCCTTTTTTCCACACTTCCAACATGACGATCAGAGGATGTCCCTAGACACCCCAGCAACAGCAGACATGCACATGTGGGAATTTCTTAACCACTTGGCATGGTAAAAGCATGTTCCCTCCAGGATTGTCTGACACTTCTCCAACCAGATGTTCAGACGCGGCGTCTACCACGGGTTTGGCAGCGATCTACCAGGAACCATTACTTTGGAGCTGTTGGCCATGGCATCCAGGTTTGGAAATTTTTCCACCACCTCAGCCCCTTTGGGGGATCTACCCCATTGTAGCAGCTGCTGTGGCATGGGGTAAATCATGGTCAGGATCATCAATCCATTGTTACTCAGACAACTAAGCACATGTCATATCATCAACAAACGCCACTACTCATCCATAAGGTCATGATATTTCTGGGGAACTCACTTGGTTGGCAACTTATCACATTTCTTTTACTTTCATGTACCAGGCGGGGGTATACATCCCTGCCGACAATTGTCTCATTTATATTCCAGGCATGTTCATCATACGCTTCCTACAGCTGCGCATAGTCACGTCCACTCTTTCGTTCCCAGAGACAAAATCATGGATTAGACATACTCATGCAGCATAGCATGCACTATCCCACCTAGCACTTTCGTCCCATACTTGTAGAGCGCATTGAAACAGATCGCCTGGCACCCCGACTGGGTACCTCCGTTAAAGGATGCTCCTAGCGCTTCTTGAGGACTCCAAACACTCTGGCAGACACCACAATCACCGAACCGGAGAAACAAATAAATTCTCCCAAGCATATGAATGCTGTAGACAGTTGAATAGGAACCATATGAATAGGTTTACTCTCCTAGCAGTCAATCTGGAACAGCATACAATAAATCCTCCCCTAATAATGAGACGACACTTCACTTTGAGGGTTAAGCAGGAATTCCCTGTACTGTCACATACAGTCTCTTTTATTCCCAATCCACAAACATAGTACAGCCCACAGGGCGTTACAAAACAGCCAATCAATCCATACAATACACCCAGACACTCCCACACAAAATCCTCCCCTCTGGCTGTGATATGATTACTGAACACAATGGGTAATCCAATTATCACAGCCAGAGAAATACAGTTTCATAAAACACATCACGGGGATCCCAAAACATGCAATAACCCCATAAAAAGTATATCCTTGGAACTGGGGGATCTGGGTGAACCACATAGCCAAAATTCACCCAGATCCGTTCAGTACTTTGGAAAATACAGTTTAATGCAGATTCTGCAGAACATATACAGGCTAAATAAAAAACAATCACTGTATAATGTGTCCCCTGCTGTATAGTCCAAAACCACCGCACGATGTCTCTGTGCACAAATACTGGCGAGATGGCACCGTGTTGAAAAGTCCAAACAGTGTCTGTGAGTTAAAATGGCCGCCATCCATTGTTCTCACCATGTGCTCCATCCATTGTTCTCACCATGTGCCTCTGATACATGAAATGGTGTCTTTAAAGGGTAATACATCCCAGGGGCCATAGTCACATGGCAGGAGGCTGGCAATCAGTCTTCTCCAATGCCCAGTGACGAGGTCGGTTTCGCCACATTTCTCCCCTTTCCCAAAAAGACTAACAAGGTATCTGACCTCCTGTCGGTCAGTGCCTTGGTTAGTCCAGCAACCCACCCACAAAACATAATCAACAGAGTGGCCCACCCACAAGAATTGGTTACTGCACCTGTAGTGGGTAGCTTGTTCATGTCCAGGGGCTCCACTACGGCTCTAGCCTTCCGGATCGGTGGGTTGCTGAGTGGGCAGAGACCAGCGGTACTCTGCCCTGGTGACAGTGCTACCACAGGAGTGGCCTGGTTGGAGCCCAGCTGAGGAGAAGGGTTAGTAGGTTCCTCTCTCTGGACCTGGTGTTGCTGCTGGAGAGGAAGACAGGCTGTCTCCCCTTTGGATATACAGCCCTGCTGCTGGGGGACAGGACCGACCGCACCTACCCCCTGTGGTTTGGGCACAGAGACCACGGTCCCATCTGCACCGGTGTGGGGCTTATCATCTCCCCTTGGTGGGCTACGCTGCCGCTGGGGAGAGGGGTTAACAAGCTCCACTCCCTTACACACTTTCAGCCGCTGGGGAGAGGGGGTAACAGACTCCTCTCCCTGACACTCTCTCTGCTGGTGGAGATGGGGACCGACTGTCTCCCCTTTCAATATATTGTTCTGCTGCTTGGAGGTGAGACCGACTATCTCTTCTCCCTGCAAGACATTCTGCCGCTGGGGAGGAAGGACGACACCTTTGTCTCCCTGTAACTCACTCTGCCGCTGGTTGTGTTTCGCTCGGCTGTGACCTGGTTCCAGATCGCCTGGAATATATCCATGGGCACATTATCACCATACTGGGCCACTCGCTGCCTCACCTCGGCCAGCCAATCATCGCCAGAGCCTTCCATACTTGTCTGCTCCAAGTCGCTCGATACCTCTGCTCCCAGGGGCGCTGCACGTGTGCTAGCGTTGCCCTCAATTTGTAACTCCACAAACGGTGTCTCTGAGCTGCTTTACCTCGCACTAGGATGCCATCCCACTGCTGCCACCAATGAAACGGATCGCCTGGCACCCCGACTGGGTACCTCCGTTAAAGGATGCTCCTAGCGCTTCTTGTCTCCCTGTAACTCACACTGCCGCTGGGGAGGAAGGACGGCACCTTTGTCTCCCTGTAACTCGCCCTGACGCTGGGGAGGAAGGACGGAACCTTTGTCTCCCTGTAACTCACACTGCCGCTGGGGAGGAAGGACGGCACCTTTGTCTCCCTGTAACTCGCCCTGACGCTGGGGAGGAAGGACGGAACCTTTGTCTCCCTGTAACTCGCTCTGCCGCTGGGGAGGAAGGACGGCACCTTTGGCTCCCTGTAACTCACTCTGCCGCTGGGGAGGAAGTACGACACCTTTGGCTCCCTGTAACGCACTCTGCCGCTGGGGAGGAAGGATGACACCTTTGGCTCCCTGTAACTCATTCTGCCACTGGGGAGGAAGGACGGCACCTTTGTCTCCCTGTAACTCACACTGCCGCTGGGGAGGAAGGACAGCACCTTCAGCTCCCTGTAACACACAATGCTGCCGGGGATCTGGGCCGACCGCCCTGCACCCCTGTAGGGCCGGTAGAGAGACCGCCGTCCCATCTCCACCTGCCATCTGTGGGTCTTCCCAGGACCAGTCTGTGAGGTCCCTCAACATTTGCGAGTAAGGACCACTGGCTTCCACACCCGCTAACTCCGGCTGCTGCTGGGGATCTGGGCCGGCTGCCCAGCATCTCGTTGGGCCCGGTGGAGAGACCTCAGTCCCATCTCCACCTGCCTGTTGTGGTTCCTCACAGGACCAGTCTATGAGGACCCCTACTTCAGGTTCCTCTGGCCGCCTCAGGGGGAAACGGTTAACCTCCTTGAATGCAACCTCTCTTTGGCTGCTGTTACACTCCTTCCGCTGAGCATAGTCTCTCTCTTTCGCCAGCCGGAATTCTCGGTCCATCCTTGTGTTTTGCTCGGCTGTGACCTGGTTCCAGATCGCCTGGAATATATCCATGGGCACATTATCACCATACTGGGCCACTTGCTGCCTCACCTCGGCCTGCCAATCATCGCCAGAGCCTTCCATACTTGTCTGCTCCAAGTCGCTGGATACCTCTGCTCCCAGGGGCGCTGCACGTGTGCTAGCGTTGCCCTCAATTTGTAACTCCACAAACGGTGTCTCTGAGCTGCTTTACCTCGCACTAGGATGCCATCCCACTGCTGCCACCAATGAAACGGATCGCCTGGCACCCCGACTGGGTACCTCCGTTAAAGGATGCTCCTAGCGCTTCTTGAGGACTCCAAACACTCTGGCAGACACCACAATCACCGAACCGGAGAAACAAATAAATTCTCCCAAGCATATGAATGCTGTAGACAGTTGAATAGGAACCATATGAATAGGTTTACTCTCCTAGCAGTCAAACTGGAACAGCATACAATAAATCCTCCCCCAATAATGAGACAACACTTCACTTTGAGGGTTAAGCAGGAATTCCCTGTACTGTCAAATACAGTCTCTTTTATTCCCAATCCACAAACATAGTACAGCCCACAGGGCGTTTCAAAACAGCCAATCAATCCATACAATACACCCAGACACTCCCACACAAAATCCTCCCCTCTGGCTATGATTACTGAACACAATGGGTAATCCAATTATCACAGCCAGAGAAATATAGTTTCCTAAAACACATCACGGGGACCCCAAAACATGCAATAACCCCATAAAAAGTATATAATTGGAACTGGGGGATCTGGGTGAACCACATAGCCAAAATTCACCCAGATCCGTTCAGTACTTTGGAAAATACAGTTTAATGCAGATTCTGCAGAACATATACAGGCTAAATAAAAAACAATCACTGTATAATGTGTCCCCTGCTGTATAGTCCAAAACCACCGCACGATGTCTCTGTGCAACAAATACTGGCGAGATGGCACCGTGTTGAAAAGTCCAAACAGTGTCTGTGAGTTAAAATGGCCGCCATCCATTGTTCTCACCATGTGCTCCATCCATTGTTCACACCATGTGCCTCTGATACATGAAATGGTGTCTTTAAAGGGTAATACATCCCAGGGGCCATAGTCACATGGCAGGAGGCTGGCAATCAGTCTTCTCCAATGCCCAGTGGCGAGGTCGGTTTCACCACACGCATAACACAGCTTTTCACCTGGTTAAAGAATCTCATTGGAACATGACATAGCTCAACCTGTGTCATAACATTTCTCCTAGGTTTTTCTTCTTTTTGCCACCTTAAAGTTAAACTATTTCACACACCATTAATTATATATTTTACAGGCATTCCACAACACAGGATAACCTATGGCCAAAACTACCATAACTTCATGCTATCATACCAGACAAGAAAATACTCAGAGGTTTTCAGGAATCCGTACCCCCACGTTCCTCTCAGAGATTACTAATAACCATCCAACTTTTCATCCTTATCGGACCTATTAGATCTACAACCATTCAATTATACTACCAAGTCGGCCATTACCAGCTATGCACATTTCCTTTTATGCCTTTCTCAGGCCAGAGAATCCACTACCATCACCACCACTCAGACAGATCATTGTCTTTAACGATCCCACGTACATAAACACATATATCATTACCTATTGGCTCTATCACATTCCGAAACGAGTCAACACGCACCAACAGTAGAGATAACATACTATCCTACCCACAACAAACGGTGTCCACTTTCGGTCCTAGATTCCTACCTTCAAAATCCTTCCAGGAATTAAATACTGTAATGCATTTAAGGAAATGTCTGGTTAATATGTATATATTTGTTGACTGTATTAAATCTTTGATTATTCATTTTTGCCCTCTTTATTTACAGGCCTACCGTATCGTCGGTCTCGGCACACCACAACCGACTTGCTCCCTTTATACTATCCTACGCTTATGCTGGATCCTTACTCCATATACGGCTATTTGCCCCTTACACAAGTATTAAGGCCGTTTGGCCTGTATTTGTGGGAGGGGCTTAAATTAATTCACTCCCCTATATAAGGGACACCCCTTACCTGACTCATATCGCTTGAGGTCAGCATCAGAATGACCCTCCCACCCACTCCTCATTTCAACACTTTCTCTTTTCTTTCCATTTACTTTACTTTCTTACTCCTTGGTGGGCCCTCTTTATTTACAGGCCTACCGTATCGTCGGTCTCGGCACACCACAACCGACTTGCTCCCTTTATACTATCCTACGCTTATGCTGGATCCTTACTCCATATACGGCTATTTGCCCATTACACAAGTATTAAGGCCGTTTGGCCTGTATTTGTGGGAGGGGCTTAAATTAATTCACTCCCCTATATAAGGGTCACCCCTTACCTGACTCATATCGCTTGAGGTCAGCATCAGAATGACCCTCCCACCCACTCCTCATTTCAACACTTTCTCTTTTCTTTCCATTTACTTTACTTTCTTACTCCTTGGTGGGCCCTCTTTATTTACAGGCCTACGGTATCGTCGGTCTCGGCACACCACAACCGACTTGCTCCCTTTATACTATCCTACGCTTATGCTGGATCCTTACTCCATATACGGCTATTTGCCCCTTACACAAATATATGTACACACATATATAATTTTTTTATTTTATTTTATTTTACACTAGCAGGGAGACTAGTACAGTCCTTATGATCTAATATGTGTAACGGCACCCACAGGCATAAAAGGGTTAAAAGGCTGTTTAGAGGATATTCTCTTCCAGATACACAGGCAGCTACTCCATACACCAATCTCCCGAACAGGAAACCACACAAATTCTCCAAACAGCCAAACCGGAACCATACGAATGCTATAAACAGCCGAACAGGAAAAAAACAAACAAAAGGTTTTACTCCTAGCAGTCAAACTGGAAACAGCATACAATAAATCCTCCCAATAACGAGACAAGGCTCCGTGTTGTGGGTCAAGCAGTGGTCTGGTTTAATGGGGCTACCTGCCTGGTATTTATGCAGGTTTTCCACCTGGTGGACACTCCCCTAGGGGACCAGATGGAAGACTGGGACACAAATGGTACACTGACCGATCACAGGCTGTTACGGTACCTTCCGCATGAAATGTACAAACCGTCGTTTAGTGAATGCTCCCCGTTCGCAATAATGTTGTATGTAAGCGTATGCAATACAACCATGCGAACCGACAGCCCAGGAATACTCCAAACTCCCGAACGGTATATGTACAGCTCCTTCCCTTCACGAGCCACAAGTTCATGAACTGCCAATATCAGCCAAACGCCAATATCTTCCAAGCGGCAAATAATTCCAAAGAGCAGTCTCTAGTCGCCGGTAATAAAATCCCCCCAATAACGAGACCAAGCTCCGCATTGAGGGTAAAACACGAACTGAGTTTACTGTGGGCTACCTGCCCGTATTTATGCAGGTCTCCCACTTGGTGGACACTCCCCTAGGGGACCAAATGGAATAGCAGATGGACATGGGGACATTTCAGACATACAATCACACAATATTCCCAGCATGCATCACAGTTTCCTCCCCTCTGCTCGGGAGATAATTGAGAAGTAATTCAATTATCTCCCAGAGCAGAGGCAAATCGCCATTTTAAATACAAGTCACAAAACACATAAAAATATATAACTTTATAATTGCCAAACGTATTACATTCGTGTAACACATCCCCAGATAGCCTGGATCTGAGTGCATATTATTGGCGAATAACGCTCAGATCCCATACGCACAGTTCAATCGCCATGGAGTCAAAGTCTATTACAGTTCTTCAGTATGCGATTGACTCCATGGGAAGGCTATCTGGGGTAAGTCCATTCGTGCCTTTACATCTCCCGAACGGCCGGTGTTCGCACACTTCTTTCGATTGAGAAGGGAGGTCGACGGCTTCAGCGGTGTTCGGTTGAAAAAGTGTCCGTTTTCAGTTCTATGAAATAACCGTCGAACACCGCTGGTCTTTCGCATGGTTAAAATGGCCGCCGCCTCATGGTCGACATAGAATGACGACCACCCTGTATTTGGTTTTAATTGAGAAGTGTCTGTGGTTAACCGCAACGTTCTAATTGGGATCAATAGGTTAACCAGCAGCACACTTCTCTTCTGGGTGGCCGTCCGTTCGGCAGTTCCATTCGACAGAAAAGTACATTCACTTAAACAAGGCATACGAATGGGTAAATTCATGCAAACGGCAAAACAGACGAACACAGCAATCTTAGTTCATACGGATGGGTCTGTCACACAGGCATACACAGTGAATTATCTTCCAGGACAGACGAGACTCCATTAACCACATGGCAGTAAAAAGACATAAAAAAGGCACATTTAACCTATACCCAGATAGCTTAGATCTGAGCGCACATTATTACCAAATAGCGCTCAGATCACATACATACTAATCGCCATGGAGCCAAAGTCTTTAGGTATACAGCTATCTGGGGTAACACTGTTCACATAGAGAAAGTACCGAATGGACGGCGTTCGTATGAATTGCAGGAGAAGGGAGGTCGGCGGCTCAGCAGTGTTCGTGAGTTTAAATGTCCGTTTTGAGTTCCACAGTTCTGGAGCTTAACACCGCTGGCCATTCGGGAGTATAAGATAGCCGCTGCCATGTGTTCATTTATAAGGACAGCGGCCACCCAGCGTTCACCCATTAGGCTGCGGTTAGCCGCAGCTTCTGGGAGGTAAATCACTGGAACACTCCTTGACCAGGTGGTCCCCCTATTCGTGTGTTGGTTCGGAAGATTCAATCTACCGAACGCCCAGGCAGAAACAAGCCTTTCTGCAGAGGAATTTAACAGCTTTTAACATGGGGCCATAGTCCAGAGGAAGCAGACGAGCAACCCGGCTTCTCCAATGCCCAGTGACGAGGTTGGTTTTGCCAATGTTATCTTCAACTATTTGCGACTATCAGTTGAATTCTGGACTCTTATTGGACTGATTATTTATCTTTATCTTCATTAGTGTCAGCAATATTTATTAAGCTCATTACCATTGATTTATTTACGTGATTTATTTATTTAAGTGATTTCCTGCCTAGTATTCCACCACTGATCCTTCATTGAGGTCACACCTATTTCTACATACATACATACATATCTACTTCTACTGATTTAGCTCCTGGATACTTACACTCTATGGTGCATTCTTTTAACTGTTTAGTGTCCAAGTATGTTTCTTGCATTTGGCTATATTATGTTACTGTAACAATGCTTTTTTTTTTTGTTCTTTATTTGCCTAAAAACGTAATAAATCAGGAATCATTAGTATGTTGGGTTATGTTGCTTCCGAAAGTGATCATGTCAGGGAAGTGTTTGTTCTGTTCACTCCAACAAACAAACTCCCTTTAAAAATGAGAAGTTAGTTTAAAAGTGTTTTTTAATGTTTGTATTTCTTCAATCTATTAAATGCAAAAAGGGCACAATGGTGGTTAACATGACAATAAACCTGTGTGAGCTCTCTTGCGAGCAACAAGATTTGATTTAAAGCCAAAACATTTTCCACATTCAGAACATGAGAAAGGTTTCTCCCCTGTGTGAGTTCTGTTGTGGCTTACAAGTATTAATTTATGGCTAAAACATTTTCCACATTCGGTACATGAGAACGGTTTCACTCCTGTGTGAGTTCTCTGATGCCTGATAAGCTCTGATTTACTACCAAAACATTTCCCACATTCAGAACACGAGAAAGGTTTCTCACCTGTGTGAGTTCTGTTGTGGCTTACAAGTTGTGATTTCCGGATAAAACATTTTCCACATTCAGAACATGAGAAAGGTTTCTCTCCTGTGTGAATTCTCTGGTGTTCAACAAGAATTGATTTACTGCTTAAACATTTCCCACATTCTGAACATGAGAAAGGTTTCTCTCCTGTGTGAGTTCTCTGGTGTTTGTTGAGCTCTAATTTACTAACGAAACGTTTCCCACATTCAGAACACGAGAAAGGCTTCTCTCCTGTGTGAGTTCTGTTGTGGCTTACAAGTTGTGATTTACTGAAAAAACATTTTCCACATTCCGTACATGAGAACGGTTTCTCTCCTGTGTGAGTTCTCTGATGCCTGTTAAGCTCTAATTTACTAACAAAACATTTCCCACATTCAGAACACGAGAAAGGTTTCTCACCTGTGTGAGTTCTGTTGTGGCTTACAAGTTGTGATTTCCGGATAAAACATTTTCCACATTCAGAACATGAGAAAGGCTTCTCTCCTGTGTGAGTTATGGTGTGGCTTACAAGTTGTGATTTACGGATAAAACATTTTCCACATTCCATACATGAGAACGGTTTCTCTCCTGTGTGAGTTCTCTGGTGTATGTTAAGCTCTGATTTACTACCAAAACATTTCCCACATTCTGAACAGGAGAAAGGTTTCTCTCCTGTGTGAGTTTTCTGGTGTTCAACAAGACTTGATTTACTGCTTAAACATTTCCCACATTCAGAACATGAGAAAGGCTTCTCTCCTGTGTGAGTTCTCTGATGTTTGTTAAGCGCTGATTTACTAACAAAACATTTTCCACATTCCGTACATGAGAACGGTTTCGCTCCTGTGTGAGTTCTCTGGTGTTCAACAAGATGTGAATTACTGCTAAAACATTTTCCACATTCCGTACTTGAGAACGGTTTCTCTCCGGTGTGAGTTCTCTGATGCCTGATAAGCTCTGATTTACTACCAAAACATTTCCCACATTCTGAACATGAGAAAGGTTTCTCTCCTGTGTGAATTCTCTGGTGCCTGATAAGGTCTGATTTACTACCAAAACATTTCCCACATTCTGAACATGAGAAAGGTTTCTCTCCTGTGTGAATTCTCTGGTGCTCAACAAGAATTGATTTACTGCTTAAACATTTCCCACATTCTGAACATGAGAAAGGTTTCTCTCCTGTGTGAGTTCTCTGGTGTTTGTTAAGCACTGATTTACTAACAAAACATTTCCCACATTCTGAACATGAGAAAGGTTTCTCTCCTGTGTGAGTTCTCTGGTGTTTGTTAAGCACTGATTTACTAACAAAACATTTCCCACATTCTGAACATGAGAAAGGTTTCTCTCCTGTGTGAGTTCTCTGGTGTTTGTTAAGCACTGATTTACTAACAAAACATTTCCCACATTCTGAACATGAGAAAGGTTTCTCTCCTGTGTGAGTTCTCTGGTGTTTGTTAAGCACTGATTTACTAACAAAACATTTCCCACATTCTGAACATGAGAAAGGTTTCTCTCCTGTGTGAGTTCTGTTGTGTCTTACAAGTTGTGATTTACTGATAAAACATTTTCCACATTCTGAACATGAGAAAGGTTTCTCTCCTGTGTGAGTTCTGTTGTGTCTTACAAGTTGTGATTTACTGATAAAACATTTTCCACATTCAGAACACGAGAAAGGTTTCGCTCCTGTGTGAGTTCTGTTGTGGCTTACAAGTTGTGATTTACTGATAAAACATTTTCCACATTCCATACATGAGAACGGTTTCTCTCCTGTGTGAGTTCTCTGGTGTATGTTAAGATCTGATTTACTAACAAAACATTTCCAACAGTCTGAACACGAGAAAGGTTTCTCTCCTGTGTGAATTTTCTGGTGTTCAACAAGAATTGATTTAGTGCTTAAACATTTCCCACATTCAGAACATGAGAACGGTTTCTCTCCTGTGTGAGTTCTCTGGTGTCTGTTAAGCACTGATTTACTAACAAAACATTTTCCACATTCCGTACATGAGAACGGTTTCGCTCCTGTGTGAGTTCTCTGGTGTTCAACAACATGTGAATTACTGCTAAAACATTTCCCACATTTAGAACATGAGAAAGGTTTCTCGCCGGTGTGAGTTCTCTGGTGTTTGTTAAGCACTGATTTACTAACAAAACATTTCCCACATTCTGAACACGAGAAAGGTTTCTCTCCTGTGTGAATTCTCTGGTGTTCAACAAGAATTGATTTACTGCTTAAACATTTCCCACATTCTGAACATGAGAAAGGTTTCTCACCTGTGTGAGTTCTGTTGTGTCTTACAAGTTGTGATTTACTGATAAAACATTTTCCACATTCCGTACATGAGAACAGTTTCACTCCTGTGTGAGTTCTCTGGTGTTCAGCAAAATGTGATTTACTGCTAAAACATTTCCCACATTCAGAACATGAGACAGGTTTCTCTCCTGTGTGAGTTCTCTGATGCCTGTTAAGCTCTAATTTACTAACAAAACATTTCCCACAGTCTGAACAAGAGAACAGTTTCTGCCCTGTGTGAATTCTCATGTGCACAACAAGACTTGAGTGATTGTTAAAACATTTTTCACATTCAGTACAGGGGAAAAGCTTTGATTTTCTGTTTACTATTTCATTTGTAGACATATACGATTTTAAAAGATTTCTTGAGTTTTTAGAGTTGGAATTTTTGGTTCTTGTATTGAAAGATTTCTTCATAGTCTTGCTTACTGTATTTCTGTTCTTCTCAGGTCCTTCTTGATAACTTTTACTGCTGGAAAAATCTGCAAGAAATGTACTGGGAGTTAAAGAAAATCTGGTGCTGTAAGTTATTTAAGCTTACCATATTTAGGAAAAATAATCAGAACTGTGACTATGAAGTATCTTATTGATTGTGTCAGATATTTATACTGACAGATAAGATAGAAATTAAAAATGTATAATGTAAGTCACCACTTAGCATATGTGACTCCATTTTGTAACAAAAGCTCAGGCATTTTTGTTTCTCTCGAATTCTATTCAATGACCAAACAAATGTGGCTTAAGTAAACAATGCAGAGTTCCTTTATTTTTATTTTTCACAAGAATTTATATCTGCCACAAGGTGGATAAAGAGGCCAGCCCATACACATCTCTCTATCTATATAGTACCCATGTGTAGGGAAAGGGACCTCGCCACTTGGTTTTGGAGAGGCGCATGGAACCCTTTTCGGCTACACAGTCGTGTGCGGTCGGTCAAATCGTTTATTCCCATAACTCCTGAACCCCTGGTCTGATCTGGGTGAATTTTGAGTATGTTGGTCACCCAGATCAGAGCTACCAGGGGATGCCACTTAAGTCCATTTAACCCACAGTTTTGGGGTACATCCAAGAAACAGGGAAAAAGGTACCAGCATTAAGTGGATTAAGTGTCACTCTGAGGGGAGGGAAAGTAGGGGAGGGAACCTCTGTATTATTGGTTACTGTCCTAATTACTGGAAATCCCTCCCTTGCATGGGAGAATCCTTTATAAGGAACTGCTGTGAATAAAAGTTTAGTTCTGCTCCTGATGCTGTGTGTCGTCCAGTCATTGGGATTGCGATTAGGATATTGTTGGAGTCTTTCTGCCTGCTGGAATTATTACTCTGTGGATTTATTATTATACTTGTTCCTGAGCCTTACTGGGATCTAAAGTGGAGATAGGATGTGTAATACCAGCTCTCCGCTACAAGATCATTACAAGATTATCTTCAAACACAGCAAAACTAACAAAACAGGTCCGGCAATAGAAATTCCATTTTACCTAGCAGTAAACAAATGGTGCCATGTATCAGTCCTAAACGAATATAGGCGGAATTTACAGCTTATTCATGCAATAATTTCTTACCTAAAGAACGGAGAGTCTAGTAAGTCTTGTTAGAACCCTGTAAAGCTTCTGCTCTTCTTGATGTAAACAGTCCCACTTGTCTTTGGAGAAGTAAACAACCACTTCCTTAACTGAAATTGTTCCTAAATAATACATGATTTACACTGTTAGAAACAATATATAAATGGTCAATGCAAGTGAATTGGTTACCTGGACATAAATTTAGTTTCTACAAATTAGATCAACAGAAAGAAAAAAAAAACACTATCAGGACAAATTGAATTTCACTCATGGTTTAATTCCTTTCGTTCAAATTTAATATGCTTAATTTTAAATTAAACGAAATTCAAACGGATTCCATAAAAAAAAAAAAAAAAAACATTTTATTGAGATGCCGTTCTTAGCCATACTATCCCGCTTCTATGTCTCCTTGAAAAAGCACTTCGGGCGATGATGGAAGAGGATGTGGCACAGGAGGAAGAGGAAGAGGAGGAGGAAGAGGGGTCAGTTCTATGGTTATCAGGCCAGTCATTCACAAGTGGCTTGGAGGATGGGTTCCTGCACCAGCATAGGCCAGGTACACAATTGTCCAGACAGGGCACAGTTCTGGAGGATGAGGAGGAGGAACCGTGTTCACAGCAGGGTGGCACCCAACGCAGCTCGTGGGCATCACTGGAGCATGGCTGGCGAGATACGGAGGACACAGACGATACACCTCCCTCAGAGGACAGCTTGTCCTTGCCTCTGGGCAGCCTGGCACACATGAGCGACTACATGCTGCACTGCCTGCGCAACAACTGCCAAGTTGCCCACATTATAACTTGTGCTGATTACTGGGTGGTCACCCGTCTGGATTCCCGTTACAAGGCCAACGTGCCGTCCTTAATTCCCTCACTGGAGCATGATCGGAAGATGCGCAACTACCAGCGCACGCTGGTAGACGCGCTGCTGAGGGCATTCCCAACTGACACCGGGGGCTCAGTGGAAGCACAAGGCGGAGGCAGAGGAGGAGGTCGCCAACGCAGATGGGGCACCGCCAGCACCGCAGAAGGCAGGGTTAGCATGGCCGAAATGTGGAAAAGCTTTGTCAGCACGCCACAACAACCAGCACCACCTTCTGATATGGAACGTCTTAGCAGGAGACAGCATTTCCGCAACATGGTGAAACCGTATGTGTGCACATTCCTACACGTACTGACTGATGGGTCTGCCCCTTCCAAATTCTGGGTCTCCACATTGGGCACATGGCCTGAGCTTGCCCTTTATGCCTTGGAGGTGCTGGCCTGCCCTGCAGCCAGTGTATTGTCTGAACGTGTGTTTAGCACGGCAGGGGGCATTATCAAGCACAGTGTCACCAACCTAGTGTCTTTGTCAGCTCTCTGCACTCCAGTGTTTAGCCAGCCTGCTGCTTCCAGAGAGAAAGAAACAGGGAGGTGTATATTCCCACTGCTGCAGCTGAGCAGTGGGTTGGAGATAGTCCAAACCCTGGTCTGGACCTAGTCTCCCAAGAACAAAACAATAAACAGCAGAGTGGAGCACTGGCCCACCCTTCTCTCCAAATGCTCCACCCCAGCGGCTCATATCGAAATATTAATTTAAGTTATATACACACAGACACATACACTCCCCCTGGGGTTAAAAATCATATGCCTCTCTGAACAATTCAGTTGAAATATAAACTCCCTCACAGACCACCAAATTTACCTTATCACAATATATATATATATATATATATATATAAATAAAACAGTGTTGGCTACCTCCTACGCCTCCACTGCTGCTTCCACCTGCACCGCCACGGTCACCGCCTCCTCAACCTATGGGTCACTTAGTATAAACTATGTACACATTAGCAGAGGCTTGTAAAGACCTTTTCTCCATGCATCAGGAGTTGAGCTCAGTTTGAGCAATGAAAGAGAATACCCTGCACTCCAACCCTCTCTAAAATGGATAATTCTGATGATCCTCCTGACAGCCATGCTTTAGATTTTGATTTATGTTCTTCCAAAGGTAAAATCAAAGATTCCATCTAGTGCTATTTTATGGTTCAGCTGTATTTTTAATTTTTATGTTATTTTAAGTGATTTCCCTATCCACATTTGTTTGCAGGGCACTTGTCCTACTCTTACCCCCATTCTACTTCCTTTTGCAGCTCTCTAGCCCTTTCCAGGAGTTTTTTAGAGGCATTTTTGTGCCGAAAAGTTCAGGTCCCCATTGACTTCAATGGGGTTTGGGTTCGTGGTCAAATTCAGGGTCAAGTTCGAGCGCAAACCCAGACTTTTTTTCAAAGTTCGTCTGAACCCGCCAAACCCGAACATCCAGGTGTCCGCTCAACTCTAGTTACGGGTGGTAGCATGAATAATATACATTGTTCAATACTCGGCGTCCAAGGCCTGCCTAGTAGGTCTCTAGCTATTGTTTCCACCACCTTCCAATAGGGTCTGAGTTTTAAGCATGTCCACTGTGATGAAACCAATCTCGCCACATTGCATTGGAGAAGCCTGGTTGCTCACCTGTTGCCTTTAGATTATGGCCCCATATTAAAAGCCTTCTTTTTTTCCCTGCAGAAAAGGCTTATTCGTGCCTTTCTGTCCGGTGTTCGGTAGATTCAATCTACCAAACTAACACACGAATGACTGGGCCACCTGGGAGCTGCAGTGTGTCGGCAATTTACCTCCCAGAAGCTGCGGTTAACCGCAGCTTAATTGACAAATGCTGGGTGGCCTTTGTTCGGTTGCCGAACACGTGGCGGCGGCCATTTTAAAGTCCCGAACAGCCAGTGGTGTTCATAGGACTGTGCGCATAGGATCTGAGCACTATTCGGTACTTGTGTGTGCTCAGATCCCAGCTATCTGGGGATGGGTTGCAAGTATATATTTTGTGTGATAAATGTAATAATGTGTATTTTATTGTGTTTTAGTGTTTTATTGTAACCATGTGGGTAATGTAGTTTTACCTCTATCCTTGGAGATGATTGGATTACTTCTCAATTATCTTCAGGACAGAGGGAGGGAAGTTAGGATGCATTGTGGGGATGTTTTACCCCTCATGTCTGTCCTTTGTCACAGTCTCCCATTTGGTCACCTAGGGGAGTGTCCACCAGGTATTTTCCCTGGGTTCCCTCCTCACTCCCGCATTTTGTCCCAGCGTTTCAGTGTTAGTGTCGTGGTTGGTAGGCGGTGTATGGTTTGTGGGCGCAGTGACCTGGGGAACCAAAAGAGGTCTCTCAGCCTCCGTCTGCCTATCCAGTATGACTATGAGTCCATTGTAGTGTTTCCCCCTCTGCTGTGGCCGCTTTGACTGCTGTCAGTTGTGCTACTTTGTAGTATGTTCTTATGCTTGGGATCCCAGTCCCCCTTTCGTTACTGGCTGTTGCAAAATTTTTGAAGTCACTCTTGGTTTTTTGTTTGCCCATATAAAGCGGGTTAATACTCTTTGTATGTTGTTTAGGTATGTTTTTGGTAGTGCTATGGGTAAGGTGCACAGTAGGTATTGGTATTTCGGGAGTATTATCTTAAAGGTGTACCCCCTGTTTTTGGGGTACATCCAGAATGTAGTTAAAATTGTGTCTGTTTTAATTAGGTGTTATGTTATCTGAGTGGAAGAGACGTGGGGGTTGAACCACGTATGTAATTGGCTGTTGTGATAATTATGTGGGTGTAGCCTTTCAGAGGGCAATATTGCATAAAAGGAGACCCCCTGTCAATAAACATCAGTTCTACTTGACCCTTCAAAACGTAGCCTTGTCTCGTTCTTGGAGGGGATTTACGGTACCGTTACTCTGCCTCATTTTACAGCACTCCTGGATTATTTACTTGGATATCGTGGATGGGAATAAGAACTCCATTACTGCACAGCAGCTTGCCTAGAAAAGGACGTCGCCAATGGCAGATACCCCCCACAGCAGGGTAGCCGTTACAGCTCTAAACTCCCGAATTGCATACAAAATAGCACTCCAAACTCCCGAACTGGAACCTCATGAATAGCTGTTCGCAGACGAATAGGAAAAGCATCCAAGTGGCTTACACTCCTAGCAATCAGTCTCTAACAGCATACAGTAAATTCCCACCCCAAGAACGAGACAGAGCTCCGTGTCTCGTCTTTGGGGGGGGGGGGGATTTACTGAATGCTGATAGAGACTGATTGCTAGGAGTGTAAGCCACTTGGATGCTTTTCCTATTAGTCTGGTAGCAGCAATTCGTATGGTTCCTGTTCGTGTATTTGGAGTGCAATATTGGATGCCGTTCGGGAGTTTGGAGCATTCACTTATTGGCGGTTCGTGTGTTTGGTGTTCTGCAGTAGCTGTGCCTGCATCTCTAGAAAGGGGGCAGATCGCCTAAACGGTTTTTACCCCTTTTGTGCAAAACGGTCCGTTACAGGGTAATGTAATTCTCACAAGCAGAGAAATACAATTTTTCCACACTATACATAACTTGAAAAGTATGCATCACATTCACATGAAACTTACATTTTCAGAATCAGCATACTCCAAATACAAACATATGTCAAAATCATCCAAATTGGTCCGGTGGTTCAAAAGATAGATCATAGTCCTTTGTGACCAAAGGAAGCATGGCTTTTCTGCCCAAAACCAGTTCCACAGAGTCGTCTATCCTAGAGATAATTGGGAAGTAATCCAGTTATCTCCAAGGACAGAGGCAAAACTCCATTGAACACATGGCAGCAAAAGACAATAAAACACATAAAAACATAACTGTGCAGCCATTGCACAAAACAGATACATTCAACATATCCCAGATAGCTCAGATCTGAGCGCACATTATTACTGAATGGCGCTCAGAGCACACACATACAGTTCAATTGCCATGGAGCCAAAGTCTTTCCCATAGTCTTTCATTATACGAATGGGCTCCACGGCATAGCTATCTGGGCTATCACCGCTCAAACAGGGCAAGCACCGCATGATCCGGCTTTCATGTCTTCGCATGGGAAAATCAAGTGCTTCAACATGGGGCCGTAGTCTAAAGGCAGCAGGCAGGCAACCAGGCTTCTCCAATGCAATGTGGCGATATTGGTCTTGTCACAACCAGCTTTACTGTGACGGACCGCTGGCACTCCAACTGAGTACCTCCGCCAATCGATGCTCCTAGTGGTTGCTGAGGACTCCAAGCACTCCAACCGACACCATCAGCACTGCAGACCCCACTCCCAGCAATGCAGCTGCGCCGGGGTCTCACTGTCTCCACCCACCCTGGACCCAAGGCCAGGATCCAGCTTCCAGTGGGTTCCCCAGAGAGCAGGAACAAGCTCTTAGCAGAGCTTAGTGAATATACCCTGGGGAGTATAGTAAATATAGCAATCCCCAGAGTGTAGTTTTCCAATCCCCCAAACATGAGCCAAGGCTTAATGCTGGAACAAGACTTTACTGAAAGTAACAACAACAGGTATTCAAGCTACAGTTTCTTTTATGCCCTGCTCCGCAGGGGAGGGACACACACAGTAGCCAATAAAACAGAGGTTACAGCCCACACAAAATCCTTCCCTCTGCCTTTGATTCAATTATCTTATACAATAGAAGATGCAATTATCACAGGTAGGAAAGATACAGTTTTTACAGCATATTCATAACTTCTAAAATATACATCACATTCACATAAAAATGGCATGAATCAGACCAGGGGTTCAGAAGTTAGTAAAGTATCTTTTGGGGCCTGGCTGGCAGCATGGCTATCTGGCCCAAACCGGTATTACAGAGCCCTCTATGCTGGAGACAATGGGGAACATAATCCAATTATCCAGGGATAGAGGCAGACTCCATTGAGCACATGTTCCCAGTAAAACACAAAAGGATACAAAAATACATAACTCCTATCATACTGAATTGAACGGGCCAAATCTCCATAATCACAGGGCAAGAGGTTGGCAAGAAGTCCTCTCCAGGCACAAGTGGCGAAGGGCACTTTGTCACAGTAATAAATCCATGGATAAAGTAGCAGGGAGGGAAAGTACCGAATGAATGGAGGGGGATTCTTCACATTTACTATTTCAGGTAAAATTCACCTGCTGCCTGAACAATAGAGGAAATCCCTAAACAGGTAGTTCCATTACGGACCTCTCTTCTGATATTCATGGGGATTCTTCTAGGGGTCCTCATATCTGGAATTTGCAACCGTGTGGCTTTAAGTGGTTGATTCATCCTGCATAATGTAATGTAATGCAGCTTGTTGATGACAAACATTTGACTGATATGTTTTGCAGGGTCTCTGTACCTAGATCTGTATAAGTTATGGTCACTCCTAACATTGCATTGATTTAATACTTGTGGATTATATGTTTGGATTGGTGTTGATATCCTGCAGATATAACAAACTGCTTATTATCGCCATAGGCTCTGCCATAGTACTTCTTCACTATCTGAAGATAAGGTAAGAGTAAGTATGCGGTTTTGTTCCAGTATGATCTCTGGAAGTTATGTCTTTGTCAAGGTTCTGATTTGATGATATTAATTCGGTTTAATATCAGAATGACATTTTCTCTCTCTAACTTATGCTATCATGGCCTTTATTCCTATCTGACTCTCTATATTTATTCAGGATATTTCAGACATTTGAATGACAGGAGGTTGCTGACCTTGCAGCCTCTAGGGAAAATTATCTTGTCTGAGCAGATTTAATGACAATATCCTATTGATTCTTGTTTGGCTTTTTTTTTAAAGTCTTCATAATGGTTTTATAACTTGTGAAGAAATGCCCCTCTTATACTGTAAATTGACTCCTTGTATTTGTATTTGAACCAAGGATGGTAGCTGGATGGCCGGCCGTTCGGGAGGTTTTTCATGCGATCTAAGACCGACTGCAGGGCCAGAATTCATGGAACAGTTTTCGGCTACTTTGCCCGTGCAGTCGGTCAAAACTTCTAAGTCCCATATCTCCCGAACGGCTGAACCGAATGGACTGAGTTTTTAATATGTTGGTCTCCCAGACAATAGCTATCTGGGGACACCTTAGGGTACATCCAAACTTTGGGGAATTTCTGTTACGTTTTAATTGCGTTTAATGGTTATCTGAGGGAAGAAGATGTACAGTATGTATATTGTTAGGATTGGATGTATGGCTAATTATATGGGAGGCTCCCTTGCATGGGCTGAATTCCATAAAAAGAGCATGCCTGTCATTAAACCTTCAGTTCATCTTTGTACCCTTATTCTGACTACGTATGCTGTTTGGGAGTTCGTGTGTTTTACTGTGGGAATTATCCATGAACACTATTGGATTTACAATTGGGAATTCGTCTACCATAACTACCGAACGGAGGGCTATATTCACTGGGCTCTGGCTGTTCGGGAGGAAACTACCGATTAAGGTTTAAATGTACTTGGTTTCCTTACAACTGGTGGCAAGCGGCGGGATTCGAATCCCGAACGGACGTTTTAAAGCAAGCAAAGGAATGAATGGCGCAGCAGTACCAACAGCTTAAAAGAACCACGCTCAAGGATTTACTGGAAGCTCGAGGCGTAATAGCAAGCAACAAAACAAAAGCCACGTTAATTGCAAACCTGTTACAGGGCGACAGAACCAGTACAACAGAAATGGAGCGTGAGGAAGAATCTGAGATGCAGAAAGACATCAGGTGGATGCTCAGTTTATTGGGACCTAACCCAGCAACAGAGGCGATGCTGCAGGTCATGGCACAAGCCAGGCAATCACAGAAGGAGCGAGATGACTGGGACAGACTGCTACAGGGGGATTTGCTGCACTCCCCAGGAAGTACAAATGACATGCCGAAAAAGGTAAATTATGCTGCATTTAAAAGCTTTAATGACAATGAGATGGAGATTGATAGTTATCTGCAGGACTTTGAAAGGCAATGTGCACTGGAGCGATTAGACTCCACCAAATGGGCTGCAGTACTGAGCAGCAAGTTGTCAGGCAGAGCATCAGAAGCAGCACGAGCAGTACCTGATATGGATATTCATAATTATGAGAAGATAAAAGACATTTTGATGGCTAGATATGCAGTTACCCCTGAGGCATACAGGAAGAAATTCAGGGAACTGAGGAAAACAGGAAGGGATACCCATACTGAATGGGTATTCCGGCTACACAGGGCAGCCCGAAATTGGATGAAGGGCTGCCAAGCAACCACTCTGGAGGATGCTTTACAACTCCTCCTATTAGAACAATTTTTTAACCATACCGCAGAAGATATCAAGGACTGGGTTAAAGACAGGAAGCCTAAAACTGTGGAGGAGGCAGCAAGACTGGCAGATGAATACCAGGATAACCGAAGGCGAGAACAAGGGGTGAGCCGACCTGCGTTTAAACAGCCTTATTCAGCCCCAACCACGGCTGCACCACCTAGAGCCCCCCTGAGTAATTCACCCCACAACCCAGCAGCAGCACCCCGACAACCTGCAGTGTGTCACTACTGTAAACAACCAGGACACTTTAAAAATCAGTGCCCACGTTTAAATAGGGGAAGCTGGGAAAGGCAACCTCCACAGTCACAACCCAGGGCCGCTGCTCATTGTGTACAGCAGGAGAGTACATCATGGGTACCTCCCCACGAGGAACAATGGAGTGTGTTGCACGAAGTCAACCCTGTGCAAGCCGGGGGTGACAACTGGGACCACCACCGTCAATGGATTACGGTAGACGGGGTGGGGGCCCGCGCCTTAAGAGACTCTGGGGCCACGTTAACTGTGGTTCAACCGCACACTGTCAAGGCTCAAACTCACACGGGCCGCACTGTGGCAGTAAAGGTAGCCAGGGGTGCTATCCACAAATTACCCACGGCGGGATCTAAACAACTAGAGGTTGGCATTATGCAGGAGTTACCAGCCGAAGTACTGTTGGGGAATGATGTGGGCTGTTTAACTTCCCAGCTAGCCCGAGACACCACAGCCGAAGCTTATCCGGTTACCACCCGAGCTCAAGCCAGACTGGAAGCACCGCTGCACTCTGAGGAAACCCAGGTAGGAGTTGAAATCCCCCCTTTACCCGACCCACCTCCCTTGTTCTGGGATACTCCCCAGGGGTTTGAGCAGGAACAAAAGGATGGACCCCACACTAGCCGGGTATAGAAAAACAGTAGGGGACAATAGGGGCGACAACCCCCACGAAAAGTTTGAATGGCATAAGGGACTGTTGTATAGGGTGACGGATGGGGCCGGACACGGAACCGCCCAGGTTACTAAAAGACAACTAGTAGTGCCCCGCAAGTTTCGGGCTGAGTTACTAAGACTCAGCCATGATATTCCCCTAGCCGGACATTTAGGGGTTAAGAAGACTAGGGACCGCCTGACCCAAACTTTCTTCTGGCCCAGGGTCACTCAAGACCTCAAATACTATTGCAGGACCTGTGACGTTTGCCAGAAAATAGGGAAACGGGGTGACCACCAAAAAGCAAAGCTCCACCCGTTACCCATCATAGAAGAGCCATTTCACCGGGTAGCGGTAGATTTAATAGGACCCCTCAGTCGGCCCAGTCAGTCTGGAAAAAGGTTCATACTCACCGTAGTGAACTATGCCACTCGGTACCCCGAAGCCGTGGCCCTCCCCAATATAGAGGCCGAAACGGTAGCCGAGGCCCTGGTCAAAATATTCTCCCGGGTAGGTTTCCCCCAGGAGATCCTATCCGACAGAGGGACTCCGTTCACAGCTCTCCTGACACAACAGCTGTGGCAGAGCTGTGGAGTGAAAGCCCTCTTTAGCGCCCCATATCACCCTCAGACCAACGGTCTCTGTGAACATTTTAATGGCACGCTCAAGCAAATGCTAAAAACGTTTGCAGAGTCCTGCAGGAACTGGGAGAAGTATCTTTTCCATCTTCTGTTTGCCTATCGTGAGGTGCCCCAGGCATCCACGGGGATTTCCCCTTTCGAACTCCTGTTCGGGAGAAAAGTTCGGAGCCCCTGGATCTCGTATGGGAGCACTGGGAGGGCAACACAGATGATGGGGGGATCCCTATAGTCCAGTACGTATTGGAATTCCGCGACCGGCTGCGAACTCTCACGGAATCAGTTCGGGAGAACCTGCAGGCGGCCCAGTACTGCCAAAAGAGGTGCTACGACAGGGGTGCCCGAGTCAGAGTCTTAGACTTAGGCCAAAAAGTGTTAGCTTTGAGACCCGCCAAGAAGGATAAGCTCCAGGCGGCCTGGCAGGGACCCTTTAAGGTGGTGGAGCGAATGAGCGATACCACCTACATTGTAAGCAAATGTTCGGATGAGAGACTGACCAAAGTCTTCCATGTAAACATGCTGAAGCCTTACTACGAACGGACGTAAGATGTCGGCGCCGTATGCGCCCCCTCTTCCGAGGATAGCGAGGGACTTCCACTCCCCGATCTGTTAGACCCCTCTCCCTGCAGTATTGACCAGGTCAGCCTTGGTCAGAACCTACAACCTATAGAGCGACAGGAAGCGGCCGGTTTACTCCGGGAATACCAGGGCATGTTTTCTGCCATCCCAGGATATACCTCCGCTGCGGTACAATGGGTAGATACCCAGGGAGAGACGTCCCTACGACAGCAGCCATACCGCATTCCCGAGGCCGGGCGTGAGAGCATGCTGGCAGAAATTGCTGACATGCTCAAGTTAGGGGTAATAGAACCCTCTCAAAGCCCTTGGGCCTCTCCGGTAGTACTAGTACCGAAGCGTGACGGCACCACACGCTTCGGTGTAGACTACCGAAGGCTCAACAACCACACCATAACAGATGCCTACCCCATGCCCAGAATAGATGAGTTACTGGACCGTATGGCCGGAGGTAATTACTTGACCACTCTGGATTTGTGCAAAGGGTACTGGCAGATCCCCCTGGAGTCTGCCGCCATCCCCAAGTCGGCATTCGTCACTCCTTTTGGGCTTTACCAATTCAAGGTTATGCCCTTTGGGATGAAGAATGCCCCGGCTACGTTTCAGCGGATGGCTGACAGGCTCCTGGAGGGACTCCAGGACTTCGCATGTGCGTATTTAGACGATATTGCGGTCTACAGCCGCACATGGGGAGATCACCTAGGCCACGTGTCCAGGGTGCTCGAGAGAATTCACCAACAAGGGCTTAAGTTGAAACCGGACAAATGTCACGTGGGTATGGTGGAGGTACAGTACCTAGGCCACAGGGTAGGGTCAGGTAAACAGCGGCCTGAGCCAGACAAGATAGAGGCCATAGCTAATTGGCCCCAACCTCGGACTAAGACCCAGGTCTTAGCCTTCTTAGGAACAGCCGGTTATTACCTGAAATTTGTCCCCGACTATAGCGCCCTGGCCAAACCCCTCACTGATCTCACCAAAAAGGCCCTTTCCAAACAGGTTACCTGGACCCCAGAGTGCGCTGCAGCCTTCCAGAAACTGAAAGCAGCATTGAGTGAGGCTCCTGTGTTGGCAGCACCAGACTACTCTAAACAATTTCTTGTCCACACAGATGCCTCCATGTTTGGGCTGGGAGCAGTGTTAAGCCAGGTGGGAGACGACGGCATGGAACACCCGGAGGCCTAAGTCGTAAACTGTTGCCCCGGGAGGTCAGCTATGCCACCGTGGAGAAGGAGTGCCTAGCCCTGGTGTGGGCCCTTAAGAAACTCCAACCTTATTTGTACGGCCGGCCGTTTACTCTGATGACCGACCACAACCCGTTGGTGTGGTTAAACCGGGTGGCTGGCGACAACCCTAGACTTTTACGGTGGAGCCTAGCCCTTCAACCGTACAACTTCACCATGCAATATCGTCCGGGCAAACAAAATGGTAATGCAGACGGTTTGTCCCGCCAAACGGAATTGGGTGCTTAACCTGGACTGTCTCTGTGTTTTCCCTCGGACATCCCCAAGCCAACCCGGCAGGGTCTTGGCGGGTATGCCGACCTATGGACTTATAGGGGAGCAGTGTGAAGAAATGCCCCTCTTATACTGTAAATTGACGCCTTGTATGTGTTTGTTTAATAGCAATGTTTCCCTATGGCATTCGGTAGGTAAAACTACCGAATGCAAACCACCCTGTTACCCATTATACAGACTGTACTCCCTTGCTGGCTGGATTACGTTCGACAGAAGTTCTGCACGAACGGCAGGTCTCGCCGCCATTTCGGGACTTCCACGTGTTCGCGGCCATTTTAGCTCCCGAACAGCGGTGTTTGCCATTGAATGTCTGGAACTGAAAACGGACACTCAAACAGGCGAACACCGCTGAAGCCTCCAGACCTTCGGTAAACCCCCTTCCAAACTACTGAACGACAGGGCATTCGGTAGAAACACTTACCAACGGATGGGGAATCAAGCGAACCAAGGATGGTAGCTGGATGGCCGGCCGTTCGGGAGGTTTTTCATGTGATCTAAGACCGACTGCAGGGCCAGAATTCATGGAACAGTTTTCGGCTACTTTGCCCGTGCAGTCGGTCAAAACTTCTAAGTCCCATATCTTCTGAACGGCTGAACCGAATGGACTGAGTTTTTATTATGTTGGTCTCCCAGACAATAGCTATCTGAGGACACCAAATTATGTCTGTACCCCAAGTCCTTAGGGTACATCCAAACTTTGTGGAATTTCTGTTACGTTTTAATTGTGTTTAATGGTTATCTGAGGGGAGAAGATGTACAGTATGTATATTGTTAGGATTGGATGTATGGCTAATTATATGGGAGGCTCCCTTGCATGGGCTGAATTCCATAAAAAGAGCATGCCTGTCATTAAACCTTCAGTTCATCTTTGTACCCTTATTCTGACTACCTTTGCTGTTTGGGAGTTCGTGTGTTTTACTGTGGGAATTATCCAGGAACACTATTGGATTTACAATTGGGAATTCGTCTACCATAACTACCGGACGGAGGGCTATATTCACTGGGCTCTGGCTGTTCGGGAGGAAACTACGGATTAAGGTTTAAATGTACTTGGTTTCCTTACATAACTATTATCTGTTTTTGAACTCGGTCCCTCCCTCTATATATACTGATTGGGTATTCCCCATGAGTAAATGCTGCCATGAATAATGGTCAGGAAAAAGGAAAATATGCTTCATACTTACTGTAATTTTCTTTTCCTGATAATTATTCATGGCAGCATTACGTTCCCACCCATATACTATAGGAGTTGTGAAGCTAGTTACTAAGACTGCCTGATGGGATGGGGGAGGATCTATTTATACCAGTTTCAAAGTTCTATTTCCTGTCCTTTCTGTTGTGAGGGGAGGAGCTAACCCATGAGTAAATGCTGCCATTAATAATGGTCAGGAAATGAAAATGACGGTAAGTATGAAACAATTTTCCACTATATGTGTATTACATCAAATTAAATCCCTTTCTGTCCTTTAAAAAAGATATATATGTGTCGGTGGAATAAATTAGTAAAATGCAAATTGCAATTGAATGCAAACAGCAAAAAATGAAAAATGCTGTTGTCATTAAGTGAAAGACAAGCTTCTGAAGCTCTGTCCTTAAGGGGTTAAAGTCCACCAATTTTAACAAGGGAAAGCTTACTTAAATCAGTGGTACTATCCCACTGTACCTGTAGTGCTAGCAGTAAGGGAATTGCCCCCACCCCTGAGCGGCAGGTGGGGGGCCTGAAAGTAAAAAAAGGGGGGAGGACCTACTGTCCTCCCCACCGACCCCCACCCCTGAGTGGCGGGTGGGCGCCCTAATGAAAAATTGGGGGGGGGGACCTAATGTCCCCCTGGCTCCCACCCCTGAGCAGTGGATGGGGTCCCTAAATACAAATTGGGGCCCCGGGCTCTGGGGCGAGGAAGGGGTTAAACTTACCTCTTTCTCCAGCACCGGGTGGGGAGCTCGCCTCCTCTCGTCCTCTTCGGCTGAATGCACATGCGCTGCAGGAGCCGCGTGCGCATTCAGCCAGTCCAGAGGAAAGCATTCACAATGCTTTCCTATGGACGCTGGCGTCTTCTCACTGTGAAAATCATAATGAGAAGCGCGGAAGCCCTCTAGCGGCTGTCAATGAGACAGCCACTAGAGGCTGGATTAACCCATTTATAAACATAGCAGTTTTCTGCCTATAAACCAGGCACCCAGACCACCTCATTAAGCTGAAATGGTCTGGGTGCCTATAGTTGTCCTTTAATATTTCATAGTTAACACTGAGAATAAAGTAATTTAAAGAGAGTATATGAATTGTAAAATAGATTTTGTCTGTCTATTTTGGTCCACTGATCTCTCGAATCTGTCTGGTGTTCAGTTTTTCTTATAATACGTTGTGAGTTTATATCCACAACTGCATATTGCTTTGTGGAAACAAATTGAAAGCCTGGCATTGTAATATGTGTATGGACATGGTTATAACAAAGCTTTGTCCCTCTCCTCATGTAGTTGGTCATTAACAGGCACTTTGATGCAATGTGTCTTCCAACTCTTTTCTGTGGTCAATAGATCACATAAGCATACCCTATATCTCAGTCATGATGCAAAGTTTATGCTTGCAAGGATAACCAGACCCAACCCACCTGGTTATCCGCATAAATACTCCTATCGTTTAGAGGGGTTAATTACATAATAACCATTGACGGTAATGTGTTGGTTGTTTTTCCTATAGAGGAAAGATAGACTTGCCCTAAAAGCTTATTCATGGCTAGGACAAGCTCTTATAGAGAGGAGGTAATGTACGTCTGACTTCTGAAAAGGAATATTGGTGGCCCAATATGGGAAATACTGTAATTCATGTGTTTAGTAATCGTAAGCATTTGCTTATTGCCACATTACTGATGTACTGTCTAAATATTAATATCTAAAGTACTTTTTGGATTACTATATATTGGAAGTTTGCCAACATCTCATGGTTATAAATATGTTTTTGTATGTGTTGATACATGTACCAGGTTTACTTGGATATATACTGTGCAAAGTGCAACCTCTGATACCACGTTTGCTAGTCTCACTTCCTTAGTATGCATTTGATAATCCCAACTAAGGGACCACAGGGCGAAACTGAAAATGCAAACACCCCATACCGGACCATGGCTCTAAAAATAATCTCTATTAACGTTAAAAGCTTGAACGCTCCCCAAAAAAGATGGGTAATGTTTAAAGGATGGGAGCAGATATCACATATCGAGACACACGCCATTTAATGTAAGTGACCGCACCTACCCCACATCACACAAAGCTAAATCACTGCGAAAAAGGAATGAGGTGGCCATACTCATACGCAATACATGCCCCGTCAACATTTCCACTATAGACACAGACCCAGAGGGAAGTTTCATAATCCTAATCGGGATCCATACACATGCTCAACATATATGCCCCAAACAGCCCTGACAGATTTTTTGGAGAAATTAAAAAATAAAATAAATGCTCTCCCCCTGTAATGAGAATATACCCCAACACACAGGATTCAGCTAAACAGAAGACAACACAGAGGAGAGATACATCTACCGGACCTTAGAATGGCCGGACTCAACGTATATGAGAGGAGACAGAGTCAGGAACGATCCGAAGTCAAGGGCACAGAGAGACAGCGTAAACTAGGACTAGCCGGGTCTGGTACACAGTAAACAGCAAGCCGGCAACCAGAACAGATAAGGATAAAGAGAAAACGTAGTCAGAAACAAAGCCAAAGTCAATACGAAGAAAACACAACTGAACACAACAAGCGCTAAAGGGAACTGAAACAGAAACCACGATAGGGCAGGGAGTAAAGGGAGAGATAAGTTTAAATAGCTTCTAAACTAATGTGCTTGGCTCCTGTCATATCCACACCCCCAAAAGGTAAGTGTATGCGGAGTGTGGCATGACAGGGGCCAATGGGAGCCTTTTGACCATTTAGGCTCCCACTGTCTCTTTAAGAGCGCGCCCTTCGATTCAGGCAGGACACGTGACCTCTTCTCGCGGTCACTGCCCGCCTTCCTATTGAAGCCGCCGGATGAGCCGCGCGTGGCTCGTGCAGCAGCAGGACCACGCGCAGCTCGAAGAGAGGAACGCGGCCGGCCCCTGGATAAGGTAAGCTACAGTACCCCCCCTGAGGACACGCCCTGCGGGCAGGTAGGGCCAGGCCTGGCAGGAAAACGAGAATGGTAAGAATGCACAAGGCGCGGAGCGTGAACAGCATCAGCTGAAATCCAACTGTGCTCCTCAGGCCCATAACCCTTCCAATGCACTAAGTACTGAAGTCGACACCTAAGGTAACAAGAGTCAAGAACAGCAGAAACTTCGAATTCCTCATGACCCTCCACGGAGACAGGAGGGGGAGGTGGAGAATGCCGGGTATAGCGGTTGCGTACGTAAGGCTTCAACAACGAGGTGTGAAAGACATTAGGAATACGCAGATTCCTAGGAAGACCCAAGGCATATGAAACAGGATTAACCTTATGCAGAATACGATAAGGACCTATGAAGCGGGGAGCCAATTTCATAGAAGGCACCCGCAGGCGAATATTCTGCACGGAAAGCAAAACCCTGTCCCCCACAACATAAGAAGGAGCTGCTCTGCGATGCTTGTCAGCCTGAGCCTTCTGGCGAGCAGCGGAATCCACCAAAGAACGCTGAACCTGCTCCCAAGTATTACGCAAACCAGCCAAATGCTCATCCAGAACTGGCATGCCCTGTGAGGAGAATGCAGCCGGAAGGACAACGGGATGCTGGCCATAGACAACGTAAAAAGGGCTTTTGCCGGAAGAATCATGAGTGGCGTTATTCCGAGCAAACTCAGCCCAAGGAAGCAGGTCAGACCAATTGTCCTGATGGTGAGACACAAAACAACGAAGGTACTGCTCCAGAGACTGGTTGGCACGTTCAGCAGCTCCATTAGACTGGGGATGGTAAGCGGAAGAAAATGAGAGAGAAATACCCATTTCTGAACAAAAGGCTTTCCAGAACCTGGAAATAAATTGGCTACCCCTATCGGACACAATAGATACGGGAATACCATGTAACCAAAATACTTCTCTAGCGAAGATAAGAGCCAGTTCCTTGGATGTGGGCAACTTGCTAAGAGACACAAAGTGAGCCATCTTGGAAAACCGATCTACTATCATCAGGATGACTGTGTTACCATTCGAAGGGGGTAATTCAACAATAAAATCCATGGACAGGTTAGACCAAGGTCTCTCGGGAACGGGTAAGGGATGCAGAAGCCCACAAGGAACTCTACGAGACGTTTTCATACATGCACAAGTAGTACAGGCACTTATATAATCAGTGACATCCTTGCGTACGGAACCCCACCAAAAATATCGAGAAACTGCTGACATCGTTTTGATAATACCAGGATGTCCAGCAGTCTTAGTATCATGATATAATGACAGAATCTCCTGTCTCTCGGGAACATCAACAAACAATTTATCAATAGGCCTCTCGCTAGGTGCCATACTTTGTTTCGCCTGTATGGTTTGCAAGAGGGATGAAGAAATAGACAACATAGTAGTAGCTAGTATCCTGTCTAGGGGAATGACAGGAGTAACATCAACCTCCTGTTTGTCAGTAGTTTCGAACTGTCTGGACAGAGCGTCTGCTTTAATGTTGCGATCACCTGGCCTATAGGTGATAATATAATTGAAACGGGACAAAAATAGTGACCACCTAGCCTGCCTAGAAGATAATCTTTTAGCTTCACCAAGGTAGGATAGATTCTTGTGATCCGTAAAAATGAGGATAGGATCCTTAGTTCCTTCTAACAAGTGTCTCCATTCTTTAAGAGCTAAGATAATAGCAAGGAGTTCATGATTACCCACATCATAATTCCTTTCAGCTTTGGACATTTGTCTAGAAAAGAAGCCACAAGGATGCAATGGCTTTTCAGGCGATTCTCTTTGGGACAAAACAGCACGTACCCCAATATCAGAAGCATCAACTTCAAGAATATAAGGCAGTGAGGGGATAGGGTGCTGTAAAATAGGTGCAGAGGCAAATGTAGTTTTAAGAAAGTCAAAAGCCTGAAGTGCCTCGGGAGACCAGACACGAGTATTACCACCGTTTTTTGTCATACGGGTGATAGGTGCTACAATAGAAGAAAAACCCTTAATAAAGCGTCTATAATAGTTAGAGAAACCCAGTAAACGCTGAATTGCTTTCAAACCCTGTGGTAGGGGCCACTCTATGACAGCAGAAAGCTTCTGGGGATCCATACGAAACCCTTTGGTGGAAATCAAATACCCCAAGAACTGGACTTCGGATTGGTCAAATAAACATTTTTTATAGTTTACAATAAAGACCATTAGCAAGAAGGGTCTTCAGGACCGTTGTGACATGTCTGTGATGAGTGTGTAAATCTGTAGAATATATCAGTATGTCGTCCAAGTATACAATTACAAATGTGTGAATAAAGTCTCTTAGGACGTCATTAATAAATTCCTGAAATACTGCTGGGGCATTGCAAAGACCAAATGGCATAACGGTATACTCGTAATGACCGGATCTAGTGTTGAATGCAGTCTTCCATTCGTGACCTTCCTTTATGCGTATTAAATTGTATGCACCTCTAAGGTCCAATTTGGTGAACACAGTAGCATGTTTCAGCCTGTCAAATAATTCTGTAATTAAAGGTATAGGGTATGCATTTTTGATAGTGATTTTGTTTAGACCTCTATAATCGATGCACGGTCTTAAATCACCCTCTCTCTTAGATACGAAGAAAAACCCTGCTCCAGCCAGAGAAGAGGATCTCCTAATGAACCCCTTTTCTAGCGATTCTTTAACATACTGCTCCATGATACGGTTTTCTTGAATAGATAAAGGGTACACCCTGCCCTTTGGAGGTATAGTGCCAGGCAATAAATCGATAGCACAATCATAGGGTCTGTGAGACGGTAATTTATCAGCTTCCCTTTTATCAAATACAGTTTTGAGAAACAAGTACTGAGGAGGTATAACAGTAGACAAAGGAGGAGTAGTAGGAACATTAATGGTATTTAAAGGGGTGACTTTAATCATACAAGAGTCGTGGCAGGTTTTGCCCCATGATTTTAATTGTCCCAATTCCCAGTCGAAAATGGGATTGTGAGAACATAACCGTGGGTACCCTAACACGATATGAGAAGAGGGAGAGGTGATAACCTGAAACCGAATGGTCTCAAAGTGTAAAACCCCTGTGTACATGAATAATGGTACAGTTTCATGGGTAACGACTGGAGTATTTAAAGGTCTACCATCTATGGCCAAGGGTATCTCCCACTCTCTGACGGGAATGTTATTTTTTGTAACAAACCCAGAGTCAATGAAGTTCTCAGCAGCCCCGGAATCAACCAAGGCTAGTATGCTTTCAACTATACAACTCTCTCCCGTATGAAGGGAAACAGGGAGAAGCAAACGGTTAGGAGGCAATTTAGGAGACTTACATATCACTCCCAAGGCCAGTCCCCTATAAGGTCTTAGGTGCGAGAGTTTTCCGGAAGCAAAGGACATTCTTTTACCATATGGTCTCGTCTACCACAGTATAGGCAGAGTCTGTTCCTTCTTCTAAGTAAATTTTCAGTATCCGAGAGTTTGGCAACCCCTAATTGCATGGGTTCCTCCTCGGATACTTTAACACTCTCAGGTTTATCAACTCTGGGGCTAGTAGGTGTGACCAAACGTCTATTCCTGTTCTTAGTATAGAGCCTTTCACGAATCCTATTATCTATATCAATGAGGTAGTCAATAAGGTCCTCTAATGGAATAGGAAGCTCCCTTGCCCTTACCTCATCTAATATAGTGTCAGATAAACCTTCCATAAACGCAGTAGTTAACCCATTATTGGTCCAATCTACCTGTGAAGCAAGGGTACGAAACTGAATAGCATAATCAGCCACAGACCTAAAACCATGTTTAAAGGACCACTCTAGGCACCCAGACCACTTCAGCTTAATGAAGTGGTCTGGGTGCCAGGTCCTTCTAGGGTTAACCCATTTTTTTATAAACATAGCAGTTTCAGAGAAACTGCTATGTTTATCAATGGGTTAAGCCAGCCTCCAAATCCTCTAGTGGCTGTCTCATTGACAGCCGCTAGAGGCGCTTGCGTGCTTCTCACTGTAATTTTCACAGTACGGAAACTATAGCATCATAAGAAAACATTAACAGAATACTTTCGACGACTGAATCTTGTAGCGCAGCTATTTAGCGCATTCAGCCGTGAGGGAATCAGGAGGAGGATGGGAGGCGAAATTTACGCCCGGCGCTGGAAAAAAGGTAGTTTTCCCCTTCCAGGAAGCGGTGGGGAGGGGTCCTGAGGTGAGGCACCTCAGGGCACTATGAATACCAGGAAAACAAACATGTTTTCCTGGCACTATAATGATCCTTTAATTCTCATTAATGCTCTTGCGGCATTCTTTGACCTTTTTGTTGTGTCAAAAGTTCTACGAAAAGCCGTAAGAAAGCTATTGAAATTATGCACCATAGGTCCATTGGCCTCCCAAATAGGATTTGCCCACTCAAGTGCTTTGTCAGTAAGTTGATGCATCAAAAACCCCACTTTAGACCTATCAGTGGGAAAGGAATGTGGATACATCTCAAGGTGGAATTCTATTTGATTAATAAAACCTCTGCATGTCTTAGCTTCCCCTCCATACCTAGGAGGGGGTGTTACATGGGGCGAAGTATTAGGTGAATTCGATACTTCGGGAAGAAGAGGTGTAGGAGGGTTAGGTGCAGTTGCAGGAATAGTTCTAGACAAGAGCGTCTGGAGAGTCTGTGCTATCTGAGCCATACGGTGATCCTGCTCTACAAACCTTGCCTCGTGAGACGCCATTTGCTGAGCCAAATCTGCGGGGTCCATGACCCTATCGTAATGTAACGAGAATATACCCCAACACACAGGATTCAGCTAAACAGAAGACAACACAGAGGAGAGATACGTCTACCGGACCTTAGAATGGCCGGACTCGACGTATATGAGAGGAGACAGAGTCAGGAACGATCCGAAATCAAGGGCACAGAGAGACAGCGTAAACTAGGACTAGCCGGGGTCTGGTACACAGTAAACAGCAAGCCGGCAACCAGAACAGATAAGGATAAAGAGAAAACGTAGTCAGAAACAAAGCCAAAGTCAATACGAAGAAAACACAACTGAACACAACAAGCGCTAAAGGGAACTGAAACAGAAACCACGATAGGGCAGGGAGTAAAGGGAGAGGTAAGTTTAAATAGCTTCTAAACTAATGTGATTGGCTTCTGTTATATCCACACCCCCAAAGGGTAAGTGTATGGGGAGTGTGGCATGACAGGGGCCAATTTGACAATTTAGGCTCCCACTGTCTCTTTAAGAGCGGCGCGCTCTTAGATTCAGGCGGGACACGTGACCGCTTCTCGCGGTCACTGCCCGCCTTCCTATTGAAGCCGTCGTGCAGCAGCAGGACCACGCGCAGCTCGAAGAGAGGACCGCGGCCGGCCCCTGGATAAGGTAAGTAATGCTACACCCCCATGGTATACTACTTGTGGGAGGTGACTTCAATGCCGTGCGGGCCGTCTATAACATGAATAGGACCCTGGGCAAAACATTTTCTTGGGCCCCATAGGCCCTGCCCCTTCCCACCCAACCCATTACGCCCAACCACCAATCACACTGACAGACCTACTGACATACACACACAGACAGATATATTAAAACATTTGCAGATACATACTGACACACACATACACTGGCAGACATATTGACACACATTCAGACATACTGACACACTTACATACACACACAGACACTGACATATATACTGAAACACAAAGACACATACACTGACAGACGTATTGACACACACAGGCATACTGACACACACACTGACATACACACAGACACACACACACACACACACACTGGCATACTGACATACACACAGAGTGGGAAGAGGCAGGGCTTGGGGGCCCAAGAAAATGCTTTGCCCAGGGTCCTATTCAAATTATAGACTGCCCTGCATACACACACACAGACATACACACAAGCCACCCTCCAGGTTCTTACCTTTTTATGGAGGGTGGTTTCCCTGGGGTCCAGTTGCAGGCTGAGGCAGATGGGAGTTATTTTGAAGTCCTCTCCTCCTGCCTTTCTCCTCCCGCGCGGCTACTATCTCCGGTGGGAGGAAGGTATGCGCGACACTCACTTCCTCCTAGCCGGTACAGGAAGGGGCCCAGTCACACTGCTTAAGCGTCACAGCGCCCAATCGGGCCCCTGCTCACACATGCTTACCGGGTGGCCCTTAGTGCATGGGCAGCTGTTCTGGGGGCCCCCCAGGAGCAACTGGGCCCAGGGCAGCTGCCCCTTTTGCCCCGCGCTAAAGACGGCCATGATGCCGTACCATGTTCAGCCGCTGACAGGAACTGGAGAGGACTGCAAGATAAGACACTTCATGAATTCATCAAATTTATCGGACTAGTCGACGTCTGGCGAGCACAACACCCAGACACAGTTGACTATAAGTTTTACTCAGCACCCCATGGAACGTATCCGAGGATTGACTTCGTTCTAGTTGTTGTTGTTATTATTATTATTGCCATTTATATAGCGCCAACAGATTCCGTAGCGCTTTACAATATTATGAGAGGGGGGATTTAACTATAAATAGGACAATTACAAAAAAATTTACAGGAACGATGGGTTGAAGAGGACCCTGCTCAAACGAGCTTACAGTCTATAGGAGGTGGGGTATAAGACACGTTAGGACAGGAAATATCAAATAAGGTGGGAGTGAAGCAGTGCTGGAGGAGAGGGTAGAGTACTGCCCTATAGGAGAGAGCAAGAGACAGGTATGTGAGGTTGAGGTTACTCTGGGAGGCCATAAGCTTTCCTGAAGAGATGGGTTTTGAGGCTCTTTGTGAGGAACTGACTCTGCTGGGTTTCGAACCCTGGTTTACATGGTGCTAAACCTTTTCCTTACCAGTACACCAGCCTGCCTTTTGCAAATTTACCTGAGATCTGATACTATTGTTTGTAGAGTCAAGGTTATCAGTGACAACTCACTTCAGCTGTGTCTGGTCAGGTGTCTGGTCCTTGGCCTATAAAAGCCACTTCCTGTCTCTGTACCTTTGCCAGATTATTGTGGTTCCTGTACTCTCTAATCCAGCGTGTTCCTGTTTCTCCTTCCTGTTGCTGAATTTGGACTGTTTTGACTTTGCTGCTTCTCCTTCCCACTGACCTCGGCTTGCCTGACTACGATTATCATCTTTCTGTTCCAGTCTCCCATCTCTGCTTAAGACCAGAAGGCCACTCAAGGCTCAGGGGCTCAACCACCTGGGTAACGAGTGGCTACCTCTGGCAGAAAAACATTGCTGATCTGGCTACTGGACTCCAAAACTTTGTAACATCAATATCATTACACTCTTCTTAAATGATTGAAGACTAGGGGAGAGTCTGATGGCGGAAGGCAGGCTATTCCAAAGGAAAGGAGCCAACCGCGAGAGTTCCTGCAAGCGCAAGTTGGCCGTAAGGGTGCGAGCAGCAGTCAGGAGGTGGTCACGGGCAGAGCGGAGGGAACGAGGAATGGCATACCTATGGATCATTGAGGAGATATAAGAGGGGCTAGAATTGTTCAGTGCTTTAAATGTATGGGTTAGCACTTTGAATTGACTCCTATAGGATACAGGGAGCCAATGTAAGGACTGGCACAGAGGTGATGTGTGAGAGGACCGACTAGAGAAAAATCAGTCTAGCTGCTGCATTAGACTGTAGCGGGGCAATACGGCTTTTGGGGAGATCAATCAGTAGAGGGTTACAGTAATCCATGCGGGAAATTACTAGAGCATGGACAAGCTCTTTGGTCGCATCTTGCATAAGAAAGGGGCGGATGTGGGCTATGTTTTTGAGTTGGAACCTACAGGATTTGGCAACAAACTGGATGTGAGGCTCAAAGGTGAGGCCAGAGTCAAGTATGATGCCAAGACAGCGCACTTGCAAGGATGAACTTATGTGGATATCACTGACTTGAAGGGAGAGCGAGAGAGGAGGATCAGTATAAGGAGGAGGAAAGACAAGGAGTTCAGTTTTAGAGAGAGTGCGTTTCAGAAAGCGTGAGGACATCCGGGGAGGAGAGGTATATATGAGTGTCATCATCGTACAGGTGGTAGTTGAATCCAAAAGAGGCAATAAGCTTGCCAAGAGAGGCAGTATAAAGAGAAAATAGAAGGGGATCAAGGACAGAGCCTTGGGGAACTCCAACCGAGACAGGACGAGGGGAGGAGGTATGCTTGGAAAAGGAGACACTGAATGAGTGTTGGGAGAGAGAGGAGGAAAACCAAGAGAGGACAGAGTCACAGAGACCGAGCGACTGAAGAGTTTGAAGGAGGAGAGCATGATCAACGGTGTCAAAGGCAGCAGAGAGGTCAAGGAGAATTAATATGGAGTAGTGACCTTTTGGATTTAGCTGCGATTAGGTCATTAGTGACTTTGAGAGCAGTCTCAGTAGAGTGGAGAGGGTGGAAGCCAGACTGAAGAGGGTCAAGGAGAGAGTTGGAATTGAGGAAGCGAGACACACGGGTAAAGACAAGTCTTTCCAAAAGCTTTGATGAGAAAGAGAGCAGGGATATTGGACGATAGTTATAGGGGAAGGATGGGTCAAGAGATGTTTTTTTCAGGATAGGTACTACAGTGGCATGTTTAAGGTCAGCAGGAACAGTGCAAGAAGAGAGAGAGCAGTTAAAGATGTGTTTTAGTGCAGGCACAAGACAAGGGGAGAGAGATCTGATGAGGTGGGATGGGACAGGATCGAGCGGGCAAGTGGTGGGGCGAGAGGAATGGAGGAGCGCAGCCACCTCTTCTTCAGTAGTCAGGGAGAAAGTCTGAAGGGTAGGGAAGGCATGATTTACGTATGGTTGAGAAAGAACGGCAAGGAGGGGAGAATTGTTTCCTTAGCTGTTCAATCTTGTTGGTAGAGTAGCATGCAAAGCTATCAACTGTAAGGTTTGAGGGGTTGCCGCAGCGGGGCGCAGAAGTGAGTTAAAGGTGTCAAAGAGACGTCTGGGATTGTGGGAGCATGAACTAACGAGAGAGGAAAAGTATGACTTTGGCGAGGGCAAGGGCTGTGCTGTATGAATGCAATATGAATTTATAATGGAGAAAGTCTGCCTGGGTGCGGGACTTCCTCCAGGAGCTTTCAGCACAACGGGAGCAACTCTGCAGATAGCGTGTTGATTTAGTATGCCAAGGTTGGGGTCGTGTCCTCCTCGAGGTGTATGTTTGGAGCGGGGCTGCAGTGTTCAAGGCAGAGGTGAGGGTAGTGTTATATGTGGAGATGGCCAGTGATTGACAGGAGAGGGATGGGATGGATAGCAGTTGTGAATCAATGTCAGCTGACAGCTGCTGGAGGTCAATAGAGGTAAGGTTCCTCCTGAGTTGAGGGGGGTTAGGCTGAGGTTGTTGGGTGAGGGGGTAATTGAGAGCAAATGATAAGTGGTGATCAGAGAGAGGAAATGGAGTGTTGCAGATATTAGATACTGTACATGAATAAGAGAAAATAAGGTTGAGGATATTGCCAGCTACATGGGTGGGAGAGTTAGCCCACTGCAATAGTCCGAGGGAGGAAGTAATTGAAAGTAGTTTAGAGGCTGCTGGGGTCAAAGGTGGGTTAATGGGAATATTGAAGTCTCCAAGAATTAGGGATGGAATGTTAGAAGAGAGGAAGTAAGGTAGCCAGGCAGCAGAGAGGGTGGGGGGGGGAGGGGGGGGTGGACAGGGTTTTAAAGCAGCAGTGGGGTGAAAGGAGAAAACCTACACCGCCACCTTTAATCTCTGCTTGTCTTGGATTATGGGTAAAGGGAAAACCACCAAAGGACAGTGAGGCAGGGGTAGCAGTATCAAGTAGGTTTAGGGAGTGTGAGATAAATAGGTCATGGATGGAAGTAGATTTAAAAGTGCTGCACACAGAGCGTGCATTCCAGAGTGCAGCTTTAAAAGAGGAATTATAGTGAGATTACATGGAATGGGTATTAGGTTGTTGTGGTTTCTGGTGTTTGTACCAAGTGGCTGAGTAGTGGAGGGACTAGGGTTTGGAGAGATATCACCAGCTGCTAGGAGTAGTAGGATGGAAAGGAAGAGAAGGTGGGAGTAAGATTTAAATGTTGGGGATGAGAGCTTGTATTTAGGGGATTTAGCAGGGGTGTGTGGAGAAAGGCTGGATAAATATGACTAAAGTGTGTGTGATGAATACAGAGATGAGGGGAGCAGAGAGGGAGCAATGAAGATGGTATCAACAGAAACAGGTAAGTAAAATGATAGATGTTGATAGTGAGGGAAGTGAGAGAGAGAGTGAAAAAAAGAAGTGAGAACATTATTAGGAGAATAGGTGCTGTGTTTAGGAGGTGTAACGGACCGTTTTGCACACAAGGGGTAAAAACCGTTTAGGCAATCGTCCCCCTTTCCAGAGATGCAGGCACAGCTTCTGCAGAACACCAAACTCCCGAACAGGATACCAAGTAGCACTCCAAATTCCCGAACTGGAACCTCACGAATAGCTGCTAGCAGCTGAACAGGAAAAGCACCCAAGCGGCTTACACTCCTGGCAATCAGTCTCTAACAGCATACAGTAAATCCCCCCCAAGAACGAGACAAAGCTCCGTGTTGAGGGTTAAGCAGTGAACAGTCAGAGCTGTGGGATTATTGTGCTTATGTACACATTCTTACATATTTGTACCACCCACAGGGTTTTGGAACACAACCAATAAACACATACAATACACTCAGACACTCCCACACAAATTCTTCCCCTCTGCATGTGATTCAATTACCTTACACAATGGGTAATGTAATTTAGCACAAGCAGAGAAATACAATTTTTCCACATTATTCATAACTTGAAAAGTATGCATCACATTCACATAAAACTTAAATTTTCAGAATCATTGCATACTCCAAATACAAACAAACATACGTCAAAATCATACAAATTAGTCCAGTGGTTCAAAAGATAGATCGTAGTCCTTTGTGACCACAGGAAGCATGGCTTTTCTGCCCAAAACCAGTTCCACATAGTCCTCTATCCTGGAGATAATTCGAAGTAATCCAATTATCTCCAAAGACAGAGGCAAAACGACAGTAAAATAACAATAAAATACACAATGTTACATTTATGACATAAAATACAGACATGCAACATATTCCCAGATAGCTTAGGTCTAAGCGCACATTATTACTGAATGGCGCTCAGAGCACACACATACAGTTCAATTGCCATGGAGCCAAAGTCTTTCCCATAGTCTTTCATTATACAAATGGGCTCCATGGCATAGCTATCTGGGGTATCACTGCTCAAACAGGGCAAGCACCAAATGACCCGGCTGTCTTGTCTTTGCAGGGGAAAATCAAGCCTTTTAACATGGGGCCATAATCCCAAGGCAACAGGCGAGCAACCGGGCTTCTCCAATGCAATGTGGCGAGATTGGTCTCGTCACATCTCTCCCCTTTTCCAAACAGACTAACAGGGTATCTGACCTCCTGCCGGTCAGTGCCCTGGTTAGTCCAGCAGCCCACCCACAAAACACAATCAACAGCACAGCCCACCCACAATAAATGGTTACTACACCTGGGTAGGGGAGAAGCTTGTCCATGTCCAGGTGCCTCACCACGGCTGTGCTGGGTACGGGTATGCTGACTTGGTGGATTGCTGCGTGGGCAGAGACCAGCGGTACTGGGAGGGTAGCCTGGTTGAAGCCTGGTTGTTGGAGGGGGGAGACCGACTGTCTCCCCTTTAGATATACAGCCCTGCTGCTGGAGACCGACTGTCTCCCCTTTGGACACACAGCTCTGCTGCTGGAGACCGACTGTCTCCCCATTGGGCTAAATAGCCCTGTTGCTGGGGCGCAGAACCGACCGTCCCTACCGCCTGTGCTGGACGTGCAGAGACCACGGTCCCATCTGCACAGTTGTGGGGCATACTGTCTTCCCTGGGTACCTTAAGCTGCTGCTGGGGAGAGGGGGTAACAAGCTCCTGTCCCACATATACTTCCAGCCGCGGGGGAGGGAGACCGACTGTCTCTGCTCCCAATACAGAGTCCTGCTGCTGAAGACCGACTGTCTCCCCTTTAGACACACAGCCCGGCTGCTGGAGACCGACTGTCTCCCCTTTAGACACACAGCCCGGCTGCTGGAGACCGACTGTCTCCCCTTTGGCTAAACAGCCCTGTCGCTGGGGGGCAGAACTGACCATCCCTACCCCCTGTGCAGTACGTGTTGCTTTATCATATATATAATAAGCTGCATATCCCCTTTCAATAACGAGACAAGGCTACATTTTGAAGGGTCAAGAAGAACTGAATTTTAATGGCAGGTACTCTCCTTTTATGTGATTCGGCCCATGCAAGGGAGACACCCACAAAACCTGTAGAATATTGCATATTCTATGTTTCTATTGATTATATATATGGATGTGTGGATTAACATAAGTAACAGATGGTATCAATAAGTCACAAGGCTTTCTTTGTCTGAGAGCTCTGGAATGTGGATTTGGGGGTTTGTCCTTATATGGCTAGAGTTAAACGCTGACGTTAGTATTAGCACATCTATATAGTAACAGAGGGACACGAAGTCGCTCTCAGTCTTGTCTTGGCTCTGTATAATGATGTAACTCTCCCATCAGAAGTCCAGCAATTACCATCTGCTGTTGAATGTCCATAATCCTGTAACATCCTTTATTATGTTTTATTATGTATCCGTAACAAAGAATAAACCAGAAGAAACCGTAAGTCAGATTGCGTATTACTACTTTTCAATAATATAGACATATATTATTGTGGCGAGCATTTGGCCCAAGAATATATATACAAAAGACGTATATATATCAATCAACTGAAGACAAGAAGAAATTAAGAAAGATTCTACATTAACATCCATTCATCTACATTTTTACATAACCACTAAAACATAAGGTACATCCCACGCATCTCCTCCCCTCAGATAAGCTTGTAACCCAATTAACAAAGACACATTTTTCCCCAAGTTTTGGATGTACCCTAAATACCTGGGTACATGCATAAATCCATTTACGTGGGGAGTGTAGCGAAGAGCTGGTATTACACAGCCTATCTCCACTTTAGATCCCAGGGAGGCTCAAGAACAAGCAATTATAAATCCATAGGGTAAAGTATCCAGCAGGCAAAATAACAGCAGTATCCCAACAGCAATTCCCAATAACTGGACGACACACAGTTTCAGGACCATAACTAAAGCTTTATTCAGACAGTGGCCTTTTAAAGCATACTCCCATGCAAGGGAGGGAATTTCATTCATTAGTACAGTAGCCAATCCTGTTCTGGTAACCTCCCACACCTCTCCTCCCCTCAGCCTGCATCATAATCCCCTTATCCAGGACACCAATTACCCCTGTTTCTGGATGTACCCCTAAACTTAGGGGTACCACTTTAAATCATACATCCACTGGTAGCCCTGATCTGGGTGAACAACATATCCAAAAATCAGACTAGGGGTTCGGGAAATTTATGGAGGGAATAAAATGACTGACCGCACTGGGTGAAACAGCCAAATGCGGTTCCATGTGAATGGGCCCTGCGGTAGGTCCTGGAGTCAGGGAAAAAATGGCACAAAAACCTCTAGCTACAGAGGCTAGGGAGGGTTTGCCTGAATCCCCTCGTTCGGTTGTTTCTATCTACCGAACGAGGGGCCATTCGGTAGTTAGGAACCGAACGGACCGGGCTTGTGGAAGTTTCAGCGGTGTTCGCCTAGTCGAGTGTCCGATTTGAGTTCCAGACACTCGACGACAAAACACCGCTGTTCAGGAGTTTTAAAATGGCCGCCCGCCACGTGTTCGTTTTTCGAATGACGGCCACCCCCGAGAACAAAGGACGGCTACTTAACTTGTCAATTACCCGTTCGCAACAATGTTGCAATGGGTAATTGAGGACACACTTCACATTCGAACAAACTAAGGGGATGAAACTACCTAACAGTCAGACAAATACAATACTTTAAATACATAGAACTTTGCTGTTTTTACACGAATGCATTACAATACATGAAATTCTCAGGACAGCCCAGGGCCATCCGCTACAGGGAGTATTAGGGAAAAGGCAGCCTGTCAAATGTTTCTCTGATAATATGAAGGCTTGTGAGATCAACAAAAGCACTCCTCATCACTCATTATCATGAAGCTGATTAGACGGTTGACATGGTGGGCGGCCACAAAACCATTCTTCCTGGTGTGCGAGCATATTCCGGGTTGTCATAACTTAGCCGCTGACGCTTTATCCCGCTCTCAATTACAGGCTTTCTTCAACCTTCACCCAACAGCCATGCCGCTTCCATGCAACACTCCAGCATTCTAAGACCTAAATCTGGACTAGTTCACATAGTGGAGCTCAGGCAGCACTGTTTCATAGCACGCAGAAAATTTACGACAGAGATAGGACACTGTTCACTAGATTCACCGGTGCTTATCTGATTCCGAATTCATACTCCGTTCATATGATGGTGGTGATCGCAACATTTTGCCACCTTTTCCCTTAAACTATCATACAATACCATAAAACTATACCTAGCAGGTATACAGCACAAATATCTAGCTCTTTACCCAGACTACAAAGCATTCATGTCCACTTATCCCATAAAAAATATACTAAACGGCATTCAGCGGGTAGGCCGGGTGTACACACCTAAACGACAACCTATGGACGGCCCCAGGTTCAGAGCATTATCCAACATGCTAGACGGCAAACCATTTGACTCACAAACAAATTCCATTATTAAAGAAGCCATCTGCATTGCCTTTTATGGTTTCTTACTCCCCTGCGAATTTACCATAGGTTCCTCAGTGGAGGCACCATAATGTTTGAAATTCAGAGATCTCATTAGAACAGGAGATCATTCAAGATTATCAAACACAGAAGCAATAGAAATTCCATTTTACCAAGCAGGAAACAAATGGTGCCATGTATCAGTCCTAAATGAATATAGGCAGAATTTACAGCTTATTCATGCAATACACCATTACTACCCTTACACGAGCAACCCCTATCTGCAACCAAATTCATGTTGTATGTTAGGACCCTATGCCTGAAATTAGGTTTGGACCCTACAACATTTTCAGGTCATTCGTTTAGGATAGGAGCGGCTTCAGCCACATCAAGCAAGAACGTACCTGTCCACATAATCAAAAAAAACTTAGAAGATGGAAATCCTAAGTATATGTTATGTATATCCCACAACCAGAATTAGAATTAATTAAGGCAAGCATTTAAATGTTTGGCATCATAATATGTTGTAAAAATGCAATAAAGTGTGAAACCTTTTGCCCTCTTTATTCATACAGGCTAACCCAAACGTCGGTTTTGGCACGACATCACCGACTTATTTAATTCTCTGCTTTTGTCCCTGACTACAAGTGTTAAGGCTAATAGTCTGTATTTGTGGGAGGGGTTACCCGGCTTAAATACCCAACCGGGACTCACTTCAAAGCTGTCTTCGCTCAATTGCACCTCACCTTTTAACAAAACATCTATTTGGTGAGCCCTCTTTATTTATACAGGCTTACCAGAACGTCGGTTTTGACACGACACAACACAACTGTAACGGACCATTTTGCCCACAAGAGGTTAAAAACCGTTTAGGCAATATTCCCCTTACATTTTCAGAATCAGCATACTCCAAATACAAACATATGTCAAAATCATCCAAATTGATCTATTGGTTCAAAAGATAGATTGATCGAAGACCTTTGTGACCAAATGAAGCATGGCTTTTCTGCCCAAAACCAGTTCCACAGAGTCTTCTATCCTGGAGATAAGTGGGAAGTAATCCAATTATCTCCAAAGACAGAGGCAAAACTCCATTGAACACATGGCAGCAAAAGACAATAAAACACATAAAACGGCACCTTCGGCTCCCTGAAACACGCTCTGCCGCTGGGGAAGAAGGACGACCTCTTCAGCTCCCTGGGACTCACTGAAGTGCTGGGGAGAGGGACCCACGGTCTCCTCTCCTAAGGACACACATTGCCGCTGGGGAGGAAGGATGGCACCTTTGGCTCCCTGTAACACGCTCTGCCACTGGGGAGGAAGGACGACATCTTCAGCTACCTGGGACTCACGGCCACCTCTCCTAAGGACACACACTGCCGCTGGGGAGGAAGGGCGGCACCTTCGGCTCCCTGTAACACACACTGCCTCTGGGGAGGAAGGACAGCACCTTCGGCTCTGTTCCTGTGTGTCCAACTTGTCTGGTTATAACTACATGTCTGTTCGTCCACCCATTGTAAAGCGCTGCGGAATTTGACGGCGCTCTATAAATATCATAATAATAATATAGAAGAGCATTGATGTTTTTGAAGGGATAAGCCAAATGGCAAATGATTTAGAAAAACTAGAAAAATGGTCACAGCTGTGGCAACTGACATTTAATGTGGCTAAATACAAGATACTGCATTCTGGAATGTAAAAACCAAAGGGCAGAGTACAGAATATTTGATAGAGTCCTAACCTCAACATATGAGGAAAGGGATTTAGGGGTGATTATTTCTGATGACTTTAAGGTAGGCAGACAATGTAATAGAGCTGCAGGAAATGCTAGCAGAATTCTTGGTTGTATAGGGAAAGGTATTAGCAGTAGAAAGAGGGAAGTGCTCATGCCATTGCACAGAACACTGGTGAGACCTCACTTGGAGTATTGTACACAGTACTGGAGACTGTATCATCAGAAGGATATTGATACATAATTACATAGCTGAAAAGAGACTTGCGTCCATCAAGTTCAGCCTTCCTCACAAATGTTGTTGCTGTTGATTTAAAAGAAGGCAAAAAAACTGGTCTGAAGCGCTTCCAATTTTGCCACAAACTAGGAAAAAATTCCCTGTTGATCCCAAAATAGCAGTTAGATGTCTCCTTGGATACAGCAGCTATTACCCCACTAATTAGAAATTATATCCCTGTATGTTATGTTTTTGTAAGTATTTATCCAATTTCAGTTTAAACATCTGTATGGACTCTGACAAAACCACCTCTTCAGGCAGAGAATTCCATGTCCTTATTGTTCTTACTGTAAAAAAAACCTTTTCTTTCTAAATGTGTGACCCCGTGTCCTATGTATAGCCCTGTTTATGAATAGATTTCCAGATAAAGGTTTGTACTGGCCCTGAATATATATAAACAGATTTAATTTTTTTAACCTTTCTTCATAACTAAAATGCTCCATTCCTTTAATCAATTTTGTAGCTCGTCTCTGGACCCTCTCCAATACCATGATATCCTTCTTTAGAACAGGCGCCCAAAATTGCACAGCATATTCAAGGTGTGGTCTTACCAGCGATTTACAAAGAGCCAAAATTATATTTTCATCCCAAGAATTTATGCCCCTATTTATACATGACAAAATCTTACTGGCCGTAGCAACTGCAGATTGACATTGCATATTGCTGCCTAATTTGTTGTCTATAACAATTCCCAAATCCTTCTCGTGTGTGGTTATCCCTAATTCACTACCATTTAGTGTGTAAATTGCTTGTGCATTCTTAACCCCGAAGTGCATAATTTTGCATTTCTCAATGTTAAATTTCATCTGCCATTTTAGTGCCCAGTCCCCCAATCTATCCAAATCTCTCTGCAGCAAAGCAATATCCTGCTCACATTTTATTACTTTACAAAGTTTTGTGTCATCTGCAAACACTGATACATGGCTTTCAATGCCTATTTCAAGATCATTTATAAATATGTTAAATAGAAGTGGTCCCAAAACAGAACCCTGAGGGACACCACTTACCACTTACCTAGAGAACTGAGAGTCTAGTAATTCTTGTTAGAACCCTGTAAAGCTTCTGCTCTTCTTGATGTAAACAGTCCCACTCGTCCTCGGAGAAGTAAACAGCCACTTTCTTAACTGAAATTGTTCCTAAGTAATACATTAGTTACACTGTTAGAAACAATCTATAAACGGTCAAGGCAAGTGAAATGATTATCTGGACATAAATTTAGTTTGTACAAATTAGAACACTAGGAAAAAAAAAAAAAAACACTATCAGGACAAACCGAATTTCGCTCATGGTTTAACTCCTTTCGTTCAAATTTAATATGCTTAATTTCAGATTAAACTAAATTGAAACGGATTTCAAAAAAAAAATAATAATAAAAAAATAAGATATTTATTGAGATGCTTTGCTTAAATGAAATCTATAGTGTCCCTCACCGCCCCCAATCAGTTACTAAACGGTTAATAACCCCTTTGTCGCTAACCTGATTACAGCACCAATCTTCATCGGCTCTGTGTCCATGTTTCCCCTCCATCTCTCCCTCCGTGTACCCCCTCTCCCCCCCTCCCCGTCCCCCCCTCCTCTCCCTCCTGTCCCCCCCTCCTCCTCCTCTCCTTCATGTCCCCCCCCTCCTCCTCCTCTTCTTCCGTATCCCCCCCCTCCTCCTCTTCTTCCCATGTCCCCCCCCTCCTCCTCTTCTTCATGTCCCCCCCCCCCTCCTCCCCTCTTCTTCGTAATACCCCTCCTCCTCATGCCCCCCCTCCTCCCTCCTTACCCCCTCCTCCTCCTCCCTTCCTTGTCCCCCCCTCCTCCTCAGTGGCATTTACCTCATCTCGTCATGTCCCCCCTCTCCTCCTCCTCGTCATGTCCCCCCCTCCTCTCCCCTCCTCCTCCCTCGTCATGTCCCCCCCTCCTCTCCCCTCCTCTCCCATGTCCCCCCACTCCTCTACATGTCCCCCCTCCTCTCCCTCTCCTCTCCAATGTCCCTCTCTACATGTCCCCCCCTCCTCTACATGTCCCCCCTCCTCTCCCTCTCTCTCTCTCCATGTCCCCCCCTCTCTCTCCCTCTCTCTCTCCCCTACTCTCTCCCCTCTCTCTCCCCTCTCTCTCTCCCCCCCTCTCTCTCCCCTCTCCTCTCTCTCCCCCCTTTCCTCCTCTCTCTCCCCCCCCCTCTCTCTCTCTCTCTCCATGTTAATGTAATTGGCTGATTAGTGATATTATTATCGCTCTGGATCCAGGAATATCCCAATAAACACAATGAACCCCGGACTCACCCTCCGCTCCCAGCAGCCAGCTCTGCACTGAGTGCACTGAATGACGTCACAGCGGAAATGCGATTCCAGGAGGCGGAGTCTATGCGTTTACTGAGACGCTGAGAAAGGAAGTGACGTCACGGAGCTCGATCCGCCCGGCGCCATGATGGATGAGGGCAAAGGTCTTATTACTCTGTAGGAGCAGTATGGGCAATAGGCAGAAAGTATAACATTAGTTAGACGGGATGGGGAAGGGCTACATGTAGAAGGCTAGAATGGGATGTATGAATGTGGGCGGGGTTATATCAATGCGGGCGGGTTATATGGCAATGTGGGAGGGGTTATATATCAATGTGGGCGTGGTTATATATCAATGTGGGCGGGTAATGTCAATGTGGGCGGGGTTATGTATCAATGTGGGCGGGGTTATATAGTAATGTGGGCGGGTTATGTATCAATGTAGGAGGGGTTATGTATCAGTGTGGGAGGGGTTATATATCAATGTGGGCGGGGCTATGTATCAATGTGGGAGGGGTTATGTATCAATGTGGGAGGGGTTATAAAGCAATGTAAGTGGGGTTATGTAGCAATATGGGCGGACTTATGTAGCAATGTGGGAGGGGTTATATATCAATGTGGGAGGGGTTATATATCAATGTGGGCGGGGTTATATAACAATGTGGGCGGGGTTATATAATAATGTGGGAGGGGTTATATATCAATGTGGGCGGGGTTATATATCAATGTGGGGGGGGTTATATAACAATGTGGGAGGGGTTATATATCATTGTGGGTGGGGTTATATATCAATGTGGGAGGGGTTATATAGCAATGTGGGCGGGGCTATGTATCAATGTGGGAGGGGTTATGTATCAATGTGGGAGGGGTTATAAAGCAATGTAAGTGGGGTTATGTAGCAATATGGGCGGACTTATGTAGCAATGTGGGAGGGGTTATATATCAATGTGGGAGGGGTTATATATCAATGTGGGCGGGTTATATAGCAATGTGGGCGGGTTATGTATCAATGTAGGAGGGGTTATGTATCAATGTGGGAGGGGTTATATAGCAATGTGGGCGGGGTTATATAGCAATGTGGGAGGGGTTATATATTGTAACGGCTCAGGGTTAAACCGTTTACAGTACTTATGGTGTCTACGCAGTAGTTATGGTATTTGTAACGGGCCGTTTTGCACACAAGGGGTAAAAACCGTTTAGTAGATCTTCAGAGACACAGGCACAGCTACTGCAGAACACCAATCCTCCGAACAGGAAACCATATGAATAGGTTAACACTCCTAGCAGTCAAACTGAAACAGCATACTGTAAATCCCCCCAAGAACGAGACAAAGCTCCGTGTTGAGGGTCAAGCAGTGAACAGCCAGAGCTGTGGGTTTATTGTGCTTATGTACACATTCTTACACATTAGTACCACCCACAGGGTTTTGGAACACAACCAATAAACACATACAATACACTCAGACACTCCCACACAAAATCCTCCCCTCTGCCTGTGATTCAATTACCTTACACAATGGGTAATGTAATTAGCACAAGCAGAGAAATACAATTTTTCCACATTATTCATAACTTGAAAAGTATGCATCACATTCACATATAACCTATATTTTCAGAATCAGCATACTCCAAATACAAACATACGTAAAAATCATACAAATTGGTCCAGTGGTTCAAAAGATAGATCGTAGTCCTTTGTGACCACAGGAAGCATGGCTTTTCTGCCCAAAACCAGTTCCACAGAGTCGTCTATCCAGGAGATAATTGGGAAGTAATCAAATTATCTCCAAAGACGGAGGCAAAACTCCATTAAACACATGGCAGCAAAAAAGACAGTAAAATAACAATAAAATACACAATGTTACATTTATGACATAAAATACAGACATGCAACATATGCCCAGATAGCTTAGGTCTGAGCGCACATTAATACTGAATGGCACTCAGACCACAAGCACATACAGTTCAATTGCCATGGAGCCAAAGTCTTTTATTACATGAATAGGCTCCATGGCATACCTATCTGGGTTATATGAGTTCATTCAGTAAATCCGAGAATCTACCGAACACTGGGCAGAAAAGCACGAATAAGTCTTTTCTGCAGTGAAAAATATGTCTTTTAACATGGGGCCATAGTCCAAAGGCAGCAGGCGAGCAACCAGGCTTCTCCAATGCAATGTGGCGAGATTGCTCTCGTCACATATATCAATGTGGGAGGGGTTAGATAACAATGTGGGAGGGGTTATATATCAATGTGGGAGGGGTTAGATAACAATGTGGGAGGGGTTATATATCAATGTGGGAGGTGTTAGATAACAATATGGGAGGGATTATATATCAATGTGGGAGGTGTTAGATAACAATGTGGGAGATGTTTATTAATAGAGGTCTGACCACCCACTCGGCTCCAGTACATCTTGCCCAGCTTTTAAGTCTAAACATCTGATTTGCAGGGGAATTGAACAGGTCTTTCCCCATTGGAGAGGGGGAGATAGAATAAGGAAGCTATCGCAAAGGGAAACGTACTGAATTCATAGGTTGCAAACACTGGAGCCGAGTGGGTTAACCCATTAATGCCGTTACGCTGCGGTGATTAAGCCCACCCACGTGCAACCCAGGCAGGTCCCTTGTGACCAATCTGTAGGGATCTGCAGTTTGTGATCGTAGTGACAGCCACTGTTACGATGTGTCAGCCAATGATTTTAGATCACTGGCTGACACATTGTCTCTGCCCCTCTCCTCACCTCTCTTATTTATGCTGGCAGCCTTAGGCCTGGGGGGCGAAACTAGTCAAGTGGCCCATTGCACCAACAAATCAGTGCAATGGTGCCCACCTTTTCCTGTTTTTTTAACGGATATTGATGTAATGCTAATCAGTAGCTCTTTGCCATACCCGCTCCTTCACGGCTCTGACTTTCAATGTTGTCAGAGCACAGGCTGAGAATCTCTGAGCCTGTGCTCTGACTCACTAACTGAGCGTTGGAACCACGAGGGAGAGGATATAATCTGACTGCACCTACTGCTGGTGCGCACCAGTGGACCACCAGCGAATCGTTTAAATTGAATATGCCGGTGTCCCCAACTTGTGAGCTGTGTTGTCCGCGGGGCACCTCTATTGTGATGGCACCCTGTGTGACCACACAGCGTGCACATCCCAATGGCTGGCCCTGCTGACACACACTGATGTTACTACTTAGAAATCCCTCAATATTAATACAGACATCAGAGTAAACACCAATAAACTGTGGAAACAGAGCTCATCCCCCCCCAAATTTATAAAGATTTGCTTACTGGATTTGTTGTAAGATTAAATCATGCCTCCTCCTCTCTCTCTCCCATGCTCTGCTCTGTAGGCTGGGAGGAAGTGAAGAGTAATCACAATCTCCCAGCACAGCAACACCTGTGGCTGCATGGGGAACAGCTGTATTTGCCGCCCGCCCATGTGACATCACAATGCCCCATCTATATGAGCTGCCATACGAACTAACGCCAGTGCTGCCCACAGTGTATGTTTACATTAAAAAGCCTGCAGGGACCGGCTATAGACACCAGAACCACTTCATTAAGCTGCAGTTGTTCTGGGGACTATAGTGTCCCTTTAATGCGAGGTAAATTATAGATTAGTGTCACTAATAATATACTAGATTGCCTACTTACAACAAGATGAGGATGATGATGGGCTGCAGTTTGGCTCCACTGGTCTGGTGTAAAACAGGATCTCTGGAGGCTGTTTGCAACTGTGGTCACAAAATTCAATGTTCTGGGAGAATTGGAAGCAGCTCCATTTTTGGGGGGCCCCTTACACAGCTCAAGTTCTGGACCCTAGGGCCTGACGGTGAGTATGCCCACAAGGCCCACTCATACGTCCACTTATATGTTCCACTCACCCATGAGTTCGCTCACAGGGAGTGGAGTGTGTAGGGGATGTGTTATGTGTAGAGGATCTAATATGTGTGCTTATGGTATGTAGTGTATAGGGATACCAGTTTGTGCAGGTTATGCAGTGTGTTTGTGTGTAGTGGAAGCAGTGTGTATTTGTGTATAAGGGATGTATTGTGTGTTTCTGGTTGTGTGTAAGGGATGCATTGCATGAATCTGTGTTTGAATGCATAAGGGATACAAGGTGTGTGTCTGTAAGTGTGTGCATTTGTAACCGCAGGTGGTTCCCTTATTTACCACTATAATGTCTTAAAGCATAGAACTTAGTAGGGCTAACCATACAGATATCTTAGCCATAATTTTATATAGTTAGTAAGAGATCCTCTATTTAACATATATAAATAATTGAGAATACAATATAAAATAAGGATCGTCTTGGAAGCAATTGTTTTGTCTTTTTGGATATTTATTGTATAAAAATATAAATATAAAATCCATTATAGCAGAGTTAATAAGATTAAATTACATGCTTGCAAATATCATTAATAGGTTAACATACCCTTCTGAACATGTCATCATGTCAGCCTCTCTGTCATTTTAAGATGGAGCAGCGTCTGTCTCCAAGTCTCTTCTCTGTTTCTTAACATTTAAAAGTACACCTATTTATACATTAGGTGTCTCCATTTTAGAGTTACCGTAGTTCAAATATGAAAAAGTAACACTTCTTTTACTTTATTCATTTTAGGACCTCCCTTAACTTGGCAAACATACAAGGCCATAACTAAAGGGTGCAAACGTCATGGAAATTTTCTTGACTTAGTTCAAGATGGCATCTTAAAGTCTGAATAGGTTATCTGTTGTTTATACTAAGTCCTAAGTGCGCAGTCGTGGGAGATTCCCGGATTTGGGGAAGTTCCATTTACTTGGGGTTACAACAGTATATTGTGTACTGAGAGAGTCATAGTATAGCCTTGAAGCTTGTTTATGCATTATTGTTATTGTAATTCGTCTGGTACAAAATGGCGCAAACGTATTATGCACTGAGGTTATTGCTTAAAGGACCACTATAATGCCAGGAAAACATACTCGTTTTCCTTGCACTATATTGCCCTGAGGGTGCCCCCACCCTCAGGGTCCCCCTCCCGGCCGGCTCTGGAAGGGGGAAAGGGGGTAAAACCTACCTTTTTCCAGCGCTGGACGGAGAGCTCTCCTCCTCCGATCCTCCTTGTTACACAAGACTCAAAATGACTCCATTATTGTTACCACATGTAACTGTGCAGCCCTATACTTTTAACACGAAGAAACACGAATGGACTATACGAATCCTTATAAAGAACCATTCGTGATACGAACAAGAGACCTCCCAAACGCTGGCGTGTGCCGCCAATTAACCTTCTCACCCCGCAAAGTACCGAATGACCGACCACCCAACAAGCAGAGTGTGGCGCCCATTAACCACCCAGGCGGCTGCGGTCTGCGGTTAACCACAAACTAATTGACGGGCAAGGAGGATCGACGTTCGCCCACAAATCACCGAATTGGAACTACCGAACAACCTCACGAACGAAGACCTCCTACAGTGGGTCGTGTGTCAGCAATTAGCCTGTGGTTTCTGTGGTTAACCGCAACTCAACTACCGTGCTTCCAGGTGGTCCTAATTTGTATACCGAACGATTTCCACTACCAGACAGACAGCGGGGATTCGCATGAACCTATACCCGAGTTCAGTTCCATAAGTTGGAGGCGAGGTCCCGCTGCTCGTTAAACCATCTAAAAACATGGCCGCCATCAGGGACTCCTGACCCAAAATACCGAACGGACTTTATACGGCAAAAATTGCTCATTCTGTTCGCGGGATTGGAACGCCATTCGTATATTTAATGTACCCGAACGTGAGCTATTGAATGAGTGGTATAATGAACCGTTTTCCCCTATTTATGTTGAAGTTATGTATTTTTATACCGTTTTATGAGGCATAGTAAAACGTGGTCTTTTGTGCGCTTGAAGATAATTAGATTGTATAACCGTTGGCTTCATTATCTCCAAGCTGGGCAGGTTCTTATTCAAATGATACACTGTACTGTGATTGGTTACCTGTTTGTACCGTACCTGTATGCCATCAGGTCCACAGGGGGCTGTCCTTGGACCTGAGGAATTGCATAAATTGCCATGTTTGTGTGCCAGTAAAGTTAGTTCGTTTTGACTTGCAGCCTCGACACATGTTGTAGGGATCCGGGATATTGATGCTCATACAGTGTTTGGGATATTCTACACTTGCAGCTTTTTACCAAAGGAACTCCGTTCGACTCTCTACTGCAGGAACCAGGACATCCAAGCGATCAACCCCCCTGCTAGACCGGGGGCAATCGTAACAATTGGTGTCAGGGGTGGGATCATCCTGGAATTCCTAAGAGAGATATAGGACGGATAGAGAGCAACTACGATAAGTTGAAACGTACCACGCTAAATGTTGATGATATGCTTTTGCAGACTGAAACTGAGGAAGAACACCTGATTCTGTTAAATGAATTATTTTTCCTTTTGCAGGATTCTGGTTTAAAACTGAACACACGCAAAGTAACACTGATGCAACCAGACGTACAATACTTGGGTGTACACATTGGTCCAGGACACAAGAAGCCAGTGCAGGAAAGAATCAAAACAATTTCTTCTCTTCCTGTACTGACTTCACACAAGGCCTTACGCCAGTTCCTTGGATTAATGAACCTTTATATGATCTCTTGAAAAATAGTGAATCTTCATTTGGACCATGGACAGATGAACATCAGAAAGCATTTGAGGTACTTAAAAGAGACTTACAGGTTGCACCTGCTTTAGCGACAATACATCCAACTGCATCTTTTGCAATTCAAGTACATACCTCAGAGACGGCTGTCTCCGCAGTACTATTACAATTGCAGCAAGAGATATGGAGAATAGTGGGATATTTTTCTAAAATTCTTTCCCCAGTGGAAAGAGGGCTAGAAATTTGTGCCAGACATTTGGTAGGAGTACATTTTGCGGTAATGGCAACTGAACACATAATGGGATTCAAGGACATAATTCTGCAAACACCACACACACCTTTGAAATTACTTCTTGAAAAAGGAATTCCAGGTGTGTCACATCAGAGATTTTCACGATGGTTAATCACCAAAGCAAATTAAGTTAGAACATAAGGCAAAGTATGTACTTCCACAACTAATGCAATATGAGGGTAAACCCCATAAATGTTTAGCAGAAGTTGAAGAGAATTTTCTTTCTCTTTTCAGAAAGGAAGCAAGTGAATCTGATGAACCTGTGTTTGTTGACGGGTCCAGATTCTATTCAGATGGGAAGTACTATACAGGTTATGCTATATGGTATCCAAAACGAGGATATTCAGTAGAGCATAAATTGCCAGGTCATTTGTCAGCACAGAGAGCAGAAGTAGAAGCATTAAAAACAGTACTGACACTTGAGGAAAAAGAAGGACGTCCCCTAGTGATATATAGTGATAGTTCATATGTGGTTAGATCACTAACAGAACATTTAGCTATATGGAAAAGAAGAGTGTTCGTAGATGCCTCAAATAAAGTGTTAGCACACAAAGAGACACTAGAGACTATATTTGGAATTGTGTCTCAAGAGCCATGTTTACATGCTATAGTTAAAGTTCCTGCCCATCAAAAAGGTAAAGATTTACTTAGTGAAGAAAATGAAATAGCTGATAAATTTGCAAAAAGAGCAGCTTTAACTGGTGAAAATGCATTGCAGAGAGAGCCTATGTCAGTAGCAGTTGTTAGAAAGACTAACACACAGCCTCCATCTTTTGCAGAAGAACAGGCAAAGGATTCGTCCCTTGCGGCTTCTCGGGTTGATCCAAAACCTCCATTTGTTCATGAGAACGGGGTTTTGTGTCATGACCAAAACGGAGAACTGTGTCCGGTCATGCCAGAACATCTAAAAGTGTTATTTACTCAATATAATCATGAAAGTTTAGGTCACATTGGACAGCAGAAATTGTTAGAGGTACTCAGAGATAAGTTTTATTGGGATAACATGGAAAAGACTGTACAACAGGTAGTGCAATCATGTTTGATATGTGCACAAATAAATCCAAGACCTAAAGGACAAAAACCGCCTATACAACATATAGCACCTGCAAATGGTCCTTGGACTACTTTACAAATTGATTTTATTGGGCCATTACCAACAGGTAAGAATGGATTAAAATATGCGTTAGTATTTGTGGATGTATTCTCTAAATGGTTAGAAGTAATTCCTCTGACTAAAGATGATTCACAAAAAACGGCTGAAGCATTATGGACACACATTTTCTCAAGATGGGGATTTCCTAGACTTCTATAGTCAGACAGAGGTACCCATTTCACAGGGAAAATCATGCAAGCACTGTGTGCTATTCTAGGCATAGAGCAGAGATTTCATGTTCCATATCATCCACAATCTGCTGGGATTGTGGAACGTATGAATCGAACATTGAAATCTAGACTTTCAAAAATGTTACTTGAGAAAGGCAACACATGGGTACACTGCTGTACTTATGGGTATTAGAGGCACTATGTCTACAGCTACACAATACACTCCATTTGAATTGATGACAGGTAGGAAAATGCAGTTGAATTTTCCTAATGAACCATATTTGTCCACCCCACAGAAAGATGCAATTGCTAAAAATAAATGGTTGCAAATACTGCAGGAAAATTTGGAGCAAATTCTTCCACATGCAGCTACTCGTATGTGCAAAATGGCACCTCCTGATTTTTCAAAGTTTTTAAAGGGGGGTATGGTCATGATAAAAACTTTTATAAAAACTGGACCTTGGGAGGCAAATTGGGAAGGTCCTTATAACATAACAGATACAATGGGACAAACAATGGTACAAGTGCAAAGACCTCTTGATGGTTCACGGAATAAACAGAGGCAAAATTTTTTTGGGTTCATGCAGATCAGTGCAAATTGTATAAACCTACAACATAATTTGGTAATATATTGATACTGCTTTGTTTTTCTTAGTTTATTTTAGATAATTTGTAAGCAGACCTACAGACGAAAGTTGGCCGGTGACAGACGATGTGTTCGCAAAGACAACCGTGTAGAGAAAGAAGGTGTTCGTCAGCATCCTGCTAACATTGATGACTACAGTTCTTGTAATAGTTATTTTTAAGATGAACAAAACGACTTTCAATCAGGAATTAAAGAATGACTTATTCGGAAATATTAGAAAAAAGAGAGACAATGAACAAGTATTAAAAGGTCATGTTTGTTTCGGGACAAAAGATGGCTATCTACAAGTATGCAATGTGCGAATTAATTTCACAGGAGATAGTGTTATTAATTTAAACATTACAATGGGTCCTAATGATTTATTTAGTTGGACCAAAGGTTCATTTGTACAAGACAATGTAAAAACGGGATCATGGGAACTTAACACATTACAAAATGCATATATCATGATTGTAGTTAATGGAGAGGAAATGGTAAATTGGTCAGGTGACATGTATGTGAACGTTGCACAAACTTCAGTGACAACGCGAGGACGAGGTGGTGAGGTACTTTATACAATTCAATACTGGCTTATACATTTAGAGCCAGAATTCCTCTTAAAAAACAATACTCCAGGTATACCTTGGATATGGGAAATACGAGCATCTAGGGAATCATTGACAGTAAGAGTTAACATGATGTTTCTGGTAACTGATTATGTTATGCGAGATATTATAATGAAGCCTAGTCTTGTAGATATCCAGGAAGGAAAGGAAAGACTTAGATTAACATGTAGTACACATATAAGTTTACCCCCTGAGTCTGTAATGACATGGAAAAGGGAAGGAATGTTTTTGGGTAGTATGTCACATACAACGCCAAAGGTTATTCACAGAGGTGTACTAGGAAAGGTGGATTGGTCGGAAGAAATGTTTGTTTTCTATTTAGACAATCCTACCTACAGTGATAGTGGAAACTATCAATGTTGTTTAATGTTAAGAAATCATCATGAGAGATGTGGTGATGTTAAGGTAAATGTATTCTCTCCCAGAATGGTAGAATGCAAAAATAAGGTTTTTAAGTTATCAAGTCCCTTTCAATTGAATCATTTTCAATCAAAGCCTTTGTTATTAGATGGGAAATTTGCAACAATAGTTTGGCATTTTAATGTTTCTCAGTGGAAAATCTCAAGTAAATTTCCACAATGTAAGGAACATTTATTAAATATGGAACGAGGCTTAGAACATTGGTTTGGAGGAAGTAAAGTATCAAACAGAAAAAAAAGAGATATAGTAGAAGGAATTATGGCTGGATTTGGTACTATAGGAAGTATCACCAATTCTATGGATATTCAAACATTAAAGAATGATTTGGGAACTGTAGGGTTAATAGGGGAAAAGGATTGCATATTCAAAGAGGTTTAAAGCAAATATTGAAAAATATGGTTATGAACACAGCCTCTGTTATTGCACCCTCTGTTCAACATTTACAGGAAGCTACTTTGGCATTAATGAGAAATGCAGATTCATCCCAGGTAGCCAAAGCTTGTTTAGAGATACAAGTTGAATATTCTACAGATTTTAAGGTGATGGCACAAGCATTACAAGGTGGTGTTACTCCTATAGAACTTAAACGTAGTTTACCTGAGGAGTTTGCGTTCGCAAAAAATCATACAGATTTATGGGTTAACAAATGGTTGGGATGTAACAATGATATATGTATAAGTTCTTCTTTAATACCAATTTCTTTTCCTTTCAATGTCGGTATTAGGAATTCCTATTAGTAACACACAATTATTATTTTATAAATTACAATATCCTGATTTTGTATCTTATAATAACATTACTGAACTTGAGCAGGTAGATCTTTCTAGTTGTCTACATTTTCCATCCAAAATCATATGTTTAAATAACCAAGCTGAAGCTATTTATCATTCATGTTTTCATAACCAAAGTTCATGTTTTGGTAAAATTAAAACAGTTAAAAATCCTCATGAAATTGTAACTCCCATAGAAAAAGACAAAGTATGTGTACAGGTTATGTCAAATAATGAGTTAGTAAGAGCTACATTTTCAGAATGTACAAATTCAGAAACATTACAGAAAGGGTTATATTGTATCAATGTGGGTCCACTAATAATACATATACAAGGAACTCAAGTTAATATATCGAAGAGTCCTATACAAGAGATAGATATTATGCCTATTCAATTAAATGTTTCACAAACAAATGAGTTTCCATGGAGAAAGTGGGCAGATGAGATTAGGAAAGACAAGATATTATTATATTCGTTACAAAAACAGTTGAAAGAAACAGAAATTCAATTTGAACATGAACAGGGTAAATTAAAGGTGATAGAACATGAATGGTCAATTGTTTCTAGTTCCTCTTGGTGGAATGACATAATTAAAAGTACAAACACACTTGCTAAATCATCTGTAGGATCAGCAATTGTAAATATTTTATTTCATCCATTTATTATTGTTGTATGTGTATCTATAATATGTATTGTTTTACAAGTAATTATGCAATGTAGAATTAGAAAACTGTATATACTCGTAAATGAAAAGGTTAAACAGAAGGAGAATACACTAAAGGAAACTGTAAACAGGGTAATACACAATACTTCCAAGGAATCTCAGATACCGGGTAGCTATGAACACATCTCTTCTTATACCCAACGACTGTGATATGAAATGTGATACGAATGATGTATGAATGGACAGGTAAATAACATTATTATGGTTTATAAATAAACCATAAACAGAGGGAAATGTAGAATATTGCATATTCTGTATGTTCCTATTCAAATACATATTAAGGTGTGGCTGTCTAATGGGTTAAACAGAACAGATGGTGTTTGCTATTCTGTAACATGAGATCTCTGGAATTTGCTGTATAAAAGATCTGAGGCGGTCTTTATATAGGGATCTTCCTTATATGGCAGGGTCTAAACTAAACGTTATGATGTAATTTGGGGTATATAGAGCCAAGGACAAAGGATTACAGTCTCTTCCTGCTACGATCCGTTTGCTCTCCTCTCTGATGTCAAGACGACTCTCTGTAACGTCGTTAAGATTTACCATCTGTTAAGTATAATATTGTTTGCTGTTGAATGTAGAATAAATACTTATTTTTTATAAAGAACGTCAGATTGCATATTAGTACTTTTCAGAGACCTCATGTTACAGAATAGCAAACACCATCTGTTCTGTTTAACCCATTAGACAGCCACACCTTAATATGTATTTGAATAGGAACATACAGAATATGCAATATTCTACATGAGCCGAGGGGGAAACGCAAAGTAACCGGCCAAGGAGAAAGTTGATTGCCGACCTAAACGAGTTGGATCAAAGCTTCACCATGGCAGAACCAACGGTAATTCCCAGCGACGAAAAGACAAGGATTGTCCGGGAAAGACTTCCTCTATACGGGCTGAACCCCTCCGTAGAGCTGGTGCAACAATTGATGGCAGAGGCTGAGGCGGACATACAACGTGCTAGAACCCACGAGTTGAACATGGTGACCGCACAGCAGGGAGCCGCCGCTAATGGCCACAACGGCTTTGCGGAGCAGCCGAAGATTCCGTTCGCGGCATTCAAGCTGTTCGTGGAGAACGAGATGAGGCTAGACGAGTTTTTAGCCGATTTCGAAAGACAATGTGCCCTACATCAAATACCCGTTACAGCGTGGCCGCGTATCCTAGCAGGGAAGTTAACCGGGTGGGCCATAGAAGCCTTCAGGACACTCAGCACCGAAGAAGTAGCCCAATACCCCACAGTAAAGGAGACGCTACTGAAATGGTACGCCGTGACCCCAGACACTTACCGAAGACAGTTCCGCAACACGAAAAAGAAGGCGAATGATACCCATGCCGAATGGGCCCACCGAATGCGGAGAGCTGCTACACATTGGATTACCGGGTGTCGGGCCATCACGGCAGCGGAATTATTAGAACTATTTCTGTTGGAACATTTTTATGAGGACCTAGAACAGAAAGACCGAGAGTGGTTGAAAGACCGACGTCCCAATAATCTGCACGAAGCAGCAAGGCTGGCGGACGAACACCGGGATGCTCAGGTTCAGGAGTTCAGTAACTCCAGAATGATAGCCTGTCCCGAAACACGAGAGGTGTACCGAACAACCCCACGAACTGAGTTTTCCACGCCTGTACCAGCGGGACCTACACGGTACACGGGACCACCCAGCCACTACAATCAAGAGCGCTTCCGTCCCACTTGTTACAAGTGCAAGTAACCGGGGCACCTGATCGCTAATTGCCCCCTCAACAATAACTACCCCACACTGAACTATAATTCGTCCCCGTCGGGAAATAATCGCCCAGCCCGAGCTTTTTGCCTCGAGCAGGACAGCCCTTTAGAAGAATACCTGGGACCCCTACATGAAGCTAACCCCGTGTATGCCGCAAGTGACAATAGGCAACATCACAGGCAATACAGAAAAAGAAAGGAAGTTAACTGTTCGTGCTATACTGTAAAGAGTACCCAAGGTTTTAAAGTGTACCCTTACAAACACTTAAAACACAGTAGTGAAAAAAAGAAAAAAACCAAAGGTACAGAAAAAAAACTCATAAAAAAGTAAATATTTACCTTGTAATTTAACTATAGGAGAAAAAAAGGCTTTACAGCTATTACAGAAGGATCATGAACTGGTTATTAAAGAGGCGGATAAAGGAGGAGGTACAGTAATCCTATCCAAATCTTATTATATGCAAGAAGCCTATAGAATTTTAAATGATGGGAATACTTATAAATATCTAGATAAGGATCCAACTGAACCCTTTCTAAAATAATTAGATACTCTTTTAAATATTGGATTGGAAAATAACATAATTACCAAAGACGAATATAATTTCTTATATAACCCATATTGTAAAACCGCTTGTTTTTATTTCTTACCTAAGATACACAAATCTATTTCACAACCACCAGGTCGCCCCATTATAAGTGGCATTGATTCACTTTCATGTAACCTTTCGGCTTACATAGATTTCTTTCTACAACCATATGTATCTAAGATACCCTCATATATTAAAGATTCTAAACATCTTCTAAATGATTTACAATCAATAGAATGGAAACCTAACTACATTTTAGCTTCAGTAGATGTAGTTTCTCTCTACACCAGTATCCCCCATCAAAAAGGTTTATGGGCAATAGAGGATTGGTTGCAACAACACTCCTCTATTGCGAGGAAACAGATTGTTTTTCTGATTGATTGTATGCTTTTTGTCTTATCAAAAAAAATTTTTTGGTTTGACGATCAGTATTTTTTGCAGCTATGTGGTGTCGCCATGGGGACGAGGTTCGCCCCCAGCTTCGCCAATTTATATGTCTCCCATTGGGAATCTAGAAGTATTTCTTTGGGTCAGACGCTGGGGGGGGAACCTCGTTCTTTGGCGACGCTACATAGATGATGTGCTTATTATATGGGAAGGTGATCAAACAAGTTTGGATAATTTTATTTTACATGTAAACAATAATGAATATAATTTAAGTTTCACTTCCACTTGTCATACTACTCAAATAGATTTTTTTGATTTAACTATCTACATAGAGAATGATATTCTAAAAACAAAAACTTTTTTTAAAAATACTGACTGTAATACGTCTATAGAGCATTCAAGCTCACACCATCCTTCATAGAAACATAGAAACATAGAAACATAGAATGTGACGGCAGATAAGAACCATTCGGCCCATCTAGTCTGCCCAATTTTCTAAATACTTTCATTAGTCCCTAGTCTTATCTTATAGTTAGGATAGCCTTATGCCTATCCCACGCATGCTTAAACTCCTTTACTGTGTTAACCTCTACCACTTCAGCTGGAAGGCTATTCCATGCATCCACTACCCTCTCAGTAAAGTAATACTTCCTGATATTATTTTTAAACCTTTGTCCCTCTAATTTAAGACTATGTCCTCTTGTTGTGGTAGTTTTTCTTCTTTTAAATATAGTCTCCTCCTTCACTGTGTTGATTCCCTTTATATATTTAAATGTTTCTATCATATCCCCCCTGTCTCGTCTTTCTTCCAAGCTATACATGTTAAGATCCTTTAACCTTTCCTGGTAAGTTTTATCCCGCAATCCATGAACCAGTTTAGTAGCCCTTCTCTGAACCCTCTCTAAGGTATCAATATCCTTCTGAAGATACGGTCTCCAGTACTGTGTACAATACTCCAAGTGAGGTCTCACCAGTGTTCTGTACAATGGCATGAGCACTTCTCTCTTTCTACTGCTAATACCTCTCCCTATACAACCAAGCATTCTGCTAGCATTTCCTGTTGCTCTATTGTAACCGCGGGTGGTTCCCTTATTTACCACTATAATGTCTTAAAGCATAGAACTTAGTAGGGCTAACCATACAGGTATCTTAGCCATAATTTTATATAGTGTAAGAGATCCTCTATTTAACATGTATAAATAATTGAGAATACAATATAAAATAAGGATTGTCTTGGAAGCAAGATTGTCTTTTTGGATATTTATTATATAAAAATATAAAATCCATTATAGCAGAGTTTATAAGATTAAATTACATGCTTGCAAATATCATTAATAGGTTAACATACCCTTCTGAACATGTCATCATGTCAGCCTCTCTGTCATTTTAAGATGGAGCAGCGTCTGTCTCCAAGTCACTCCTCTGTCTTTTAACATTTAAAAGTACACCTATTTATACCTTAGGTGTCTCCATTTTAGGTTACTGTAGTTCAAATATGAAAAAGTAACACTTCTTTTACTTTATTCAATTTAGGACCTCCCTTAATTTGGCAAACATACAAGGCCATAACTAAAGGGTGCAAACGTCATGGAAATTTTCCTGACTTAATTCAAGATGGCATCTTAAAGTCTGAATAGGTTATCTGTTGTTTATACTAAGTCGTAAGTGTACAGTCGTGGGAGATTCACGGATTTGGGGAAGTTCCATTAACTTGGGGTTACCACAGTATATTGTGTACTGCAAGTGTCGTAGTATAGCCTTGAAGCTTGTTTATGCATTATTGTTATTGTAATTCGTCTGGGACAAAATGGCGCAAACATATTATGCACTGAGGTTATTGCTTAAAGAAACAGTTATGAAAAACAATATGTTCCATTTCTAACACCTTGTCAGTTTGCAATCTCTCTTAAAGACAAAGTACACAGTTTAAGAAATACAACATTTCATTCTAAAACTTGTAATATTTGCATTTGCCCATAATGTCTGACTACCTTTAAGTCATCAGAAATAATCACCCCTAAATCCCTTTCTTCATATGTTGAGGTTAGAACTCTATCAAATATTCTGTACTCTGCCCTTGGGTTTTTACATCCAAGATGCATTATCTTGCACTTATCCACATTAAATGTCAGTTGCCACAATTCTGACCATTTTTCTAGTTTACCTAAATCATTTGTCATTTGGCTTATCCCTCCTGGAACATCAACCCTGTTACATATCTTAGTATCATCAGCAAAAAGACATACCTTACCATCAAGACCTTCTGCAATATCACTAATAAAAATATTAAAGAGAATGGGTCCAAGTACAGATCCCTGAGGTACCCCACTGGTGACAAGTCCAAGCTTTGAATATATTCCATTAACTACAACCCTCTGTTGCCTGTCACTCAGCCACTGCCTTACCCATTCAACAATATTGGAATCCAAACTTAAAGATTGCAGTTTATTGATAAGCCTTCTATGTGCAACAGTGTCAAAAGCCTTACTGAAATCTAGGTAAGCAATGTCTACTGCACCACCCTGATCTGGTTATGGTTCATGGTTAAGAAATGTCCCAAAAGGACAATTAACACGTCTAAGACGTAATTGTTCAGATATAGATACCTTTAAAACCCAATCCAAAGTCATAAAACAAAGATATATTGAAAAGGGATATGACTTAAAAACGATTGAAGAAGCTGAAACATCTTTAGCTAATACAGATCGTAGTAAATTACTCACTTCAAATGACAACAAAAAGAAAAAGAAAAATGGAAACAAGTTTGACTTTGCTTTTATAACAAAATATCATTCACAAGCTCGAGAAATCCAAAGCATAATTAACCGCCATTGGCATATATTAAAAAAAGACACTTTTTTAAATAATATCTTACCAAAAAAACCTATTATAATCTACAAAAAGGCAGATAATTTAAAGAACAAATTAGCTCCAAGTGTTCTACCTACCAAAAAAACTATTCCTACTCAACATACACATATTTTTTCTAACCAAATATTAAAAGGCTTCTTTCGATGTGGAAAATGTTCCACATGTACATTTCAAAAAAAGAGCACTAATACATTTACAGGTACTTATACTCAACAGACTTATCAAATTAAAAAAATTATCCAATGCTCTACCACTTATGTGGTTTATCTACTGCAATGTGGCTGTGGAGCACAGTATATTGGTCAAAGGAAAAGAGAGAAACTAAGCAAAAACAGAGAAACCAAGGGGTTAATATGTGTCAGTCCCAAAGGTTCCCTGTAGTTGCAGTGCAACCCAAAAGAAAATAATTAAAAACTAACTTTTAATAAATTCCTTCTAAAAATTCAAAACATTGAAAATAACTGATGGTATCACAAAAAATAATAAAAAAAGGGAAAGAGAGGAGAAAGTACTTGCAGAATGACTAGGTAGTACCCAGAGCAAGAGAGAGAAAGGGATTGCCTAATAGTACTTGAAGACATCCAGTAATAGCTATTGTAAAAGGAGGTCTAAAGTATATCTTGCTGTGAAACCTAGTATAATAAGTACTATCTCCTAACTCCCATGACACTCAGGTTTGGAACGCCTGCCTGAATGTTAACAGAGTCAAACCTCAATAGAAGGTAAGCAGAGGTACAAATCAAAATAAAAGTAAAAAAAATAATGAATAAAGAGAGGGTGGTCTGCTAAGAATGTCCTGTAAAATCTAAACTAGCTGCAGCATAGTCCCCGGTCAAACGCCAACCACCCGCTCACTAACTGCACCCGACGCGCGTTTCGCCAAAAGGCTCTCCCTTTGAAGAGCCTTTTGAAGAGCCTTGTGTTTACAGGAACACAATGACTGGTGTTCGTGTAACTATTGCTACCCAAAATAACGAACATCAGACCACCCAGGGGGAACAGTTAATTACTATTTTGCCTCCCAGTGATTGTGGAGCCGTTCGCATGGTTCAGGCGAATCCCTTTGTCTCATAATAGGTGGCCGCCATTTCGGGACTTTATACGTGTTCGCGGCCATCTTACGCACGAACGGCGGTGTTTGCCTGTGAACGCATGGAACTAAAAACGGATACGCAAACAGGCGAACACCGCTGAAACCTCCAGGAGCTCGTAAGTTCGTGCTGAAACTACCGAACGACTGACCGTTCGGTAGTTTTGTTTAAGCCTGCATGGGGATTCAAGCGAACGGCAGGATTACTGTGGATGGCAAGAGGTAACCGGCCAAGGAGAGTGTTGATTGCCGACCTAAATGAGTTGGATCAAAGCTTCACCATGGCAGAACCAACGGTAACTCCCAGCGACGAAAAGACAAGGATTGTCCGGGAAAGACTTCCTCTATACGGGTCGAACCCCTCCGTAGAGCTGGTGCAACAATTGATGGCAGAGGCCGAGGCGGACATACAACGTGCTAGATCCCACGAGTTAAAAATGGTGACCGCACAGCAGGGAGTCGCCGCTAATGGCCACAACGGCTTACCGGAACCGGCGGAGCAGCCGAAGATTCCGTTCGCGGCATTCAAGCCGTTCGTGGAGAACGAGATGGGGATAGACGAGTTTTTAGCCGATTTCGAAAGACAATGTGCCCTACATCAAATACCCGTTACAGCGTGGCCGCATATCCTAGCAGGGAAGTTAACCGGGTGGGCCATGGAAGCCTTCAGGACACTCAGCGCCGAAGAAGTAGCCCAATACCCCACAGTAAATGAGGCGCTACTGAAACGGTACGCCGTGACCCCAGACACTTACCGAAGACAGTTCCGCAACACGAAAAAGAAGGCGAATGATACCCATGCCGAATGGGCCCACCGAATGCGGAGAGCTGCTACACATTGGATTACCGGGTGTCGGGCCATCACGGCAGAGGAATTATTAGAACTATTTTTGTTGGAACATTTTTATGAGGGCCTAGAACAGAAAGACCGAGAGTGGTTGAAAGACCGACGTCCCAATAATCTGCACGAAGCAGCAAGGCTGGCGGACGAACACCGGGATGCTCAGGTTCAGGAGTTCAGTAACTCCAGAATGATAGCCCGTCCCGAAACACGAGAGGTGTACCGAACAACCCCACGAACTGAGTTTTCCACGCCTGTACCAGCGGGACCTACACGGTACACGGGACCACCCAGCCACTACAATCAAGAGCGCTCCCGTCCCACTTGTTACAAGTGCAAGTAACCGGGGCACCTGATCGGTAATTGCCCCCTCAACAATAACTACCCCACACTGAACTATAATTCGTCTCCGTCGGGAAATAATCGCCCAGCCCGAGCTTTTTGCCTCGAGCAGGACAGCCCTTTAGAAGAATACCTGGGATCCCTACATGAAGCTAACCCCGTGTATGCCGCAAGTGGCAACATCACAGGCAAGAAGTGCTACTGGAGGGTCGTCCCACCCAGGGGTTAAGAGACACCGGGGCCACTATCACCTTGGTGCAAATGTATAGGACAGAAGGTTAGTCCCCGAGCACAACGCTCCACCGACACTGTTGCAGTCCGGGTGGCTGGAAGGGACATATACAAGCTACCCACAGCAAAGGTACATTTGGATTGGGGTGCGGGGAAAGGACTTGTGAGGGTGGGGATTATGGATAACCTACCAGTTGAAGTTTTGCTGGGGAACGACCTGGGCCCCATGACTTCAGTATATGCACCTTCCTACAACTCTGAGGCACATCCAGTGACTACCCGGTCGCAAGCAGGGAGAGCTCGAGACCCTTCACCAGTGCGGGAGACTCAGGTAAGACTTAATCCGACTGTGACCACCCCTCCTGCCCCATTACCCTGGGACACCCCTGCAGCCTTTGAGGCTGAGATCAAAACTGATCCGACGCTCCAAAAGTATAGGGAAAGAGCTGATACAGGGACTGGGGGATCAGACCAGGAGACTTTCGCATGGGAACAGGGTCGACTGCACCGACACACAGAGAAGAAGGGCCACCGTAGGAGACAGCTAGTGATACCCCACAAATATAGACGGGATATCCTCCGGGTGGGTCACGATATTCCCTTTGCCGGACACCTGGCAGTAACACGTACCCTCCATCGTATTACCCATACCCTGTTCTGGCCAGGGGTACATGCAGATGTGAGGACTTATTGTAATACGTGTGAGGTCTGCCAAAGGGTAGGCAAGAGAGGAGACCACCCCAAGGCGCACCTCGTTAACATGCCCATTATCGAAGAGCCGTTTAGCCGGGTAGCCATCGACTTAGTAGGGCCACTGTCCACCCCCAGTCCATCTGGTAAGAAATATATTCTTACCATCGTGGACTATGCTACCCGGAAGCCGTGGCTTTATCTAACATCCAGGCAGACACTGCCTAATGCATTAGTGCAGGTATTCTCTCGGGTAGGATTCCCTCGGGAGATCCTATCCGACAGAAGGACCCAGTTCACGACAGAGCTAACTCAGCAGCTATGGCATGTCTGCAAGATAAAATCCCTCCTCAGCTCCCCTTATCACTCTCAGACCAATGGGCTATGTGAGTGGTTCAATGGAACCCTCAAACAAATGTTAAAGACCTTCACTCAGGAGTATAGGGACTGGGAACTTTTCCTGTTTGCTTACCGGGAGGTGCCCCAGGAAACCACGGGGTTCTCTCCCTTTGAGCTGCTATACGGTCTGTGGGGATATTTATGGGATAATAATAGTAACAGTGAAAATTGCCCACTAATTCAATTCTCAGATCCCAAAGAACGTTTATCGTGTTAAGTGAAATGTATTTCATATAAATAATATCACAATGTATAAAAATAGATTTTATTTATGATAACCAATAATTAACAAATAATATTATGTAACATGCATGACAATAATCAATGAATATCCAGTACAAAATTATATGCAATACAAAGAAATGGGTATCACGTTTCAATGGCTAAACGGCATTATCTGTCAAGAATTCTGACGATTTATGAGGTATCCTTACACAGATTGAAAGTGAAACTTTTCACAGCGAAGAACAGAATTCCTCAGAGTGCAGCGTAAGGTCGTAAAGTTTAGCAGACAGTTAGAATAACCCTTTCAATGCTGGCTAGATCTCCTAGGTAGTTAAGATCTATTCTTATGTAATTTTTAAATAAAATAACATTTAACCCAGTTCATAGTCATTTTCTGAAAACCATCCAATAAGAGAATTTAATATATTATATAAGCAGGTTTTTAATTTGTCTAAAAGATATCTATCTTAATTTAGAGCAAATCAATACACCTGGATAAAAACAGCGGTATGCTAACACGTGATAATATCACATCAATATATAATTATTCTTAATTCCACCTGCAGAATGGAATGTTTATAACTATATATTCTTAGTTAACTAAGATTTCTTAATATGGAAATCTGACCGTGCTTTATCCAGTCATATATAATGCTATTAATACATTTTAATTAATTTAATTTAATTAAATGAAACCAGTATAATTACCAGTTGAGTAGATATTTCATCCGATTGGTAGTCTCAGGAACTTATTTGGATGTCTCTCTGCATGGAGGTGTTGGTTAGAAAGTCAGTAAATTCTAAGTGTTAGAGTTTTAGGAGTAGAGTGTTAGTCTCAGATGTTGTCCGAGTTGGAGTCCCCAAACTTCCAATTCCTCTCTCCTCTCCTTTGCATATGTCCTGCATCTGCCTCCTCTCGTCTATCTCTATCTTCCCTTTGTCTTAACTTTTAAAGGGCCAGACTCTCTGTACGTCATCAGTTGATAACCCAATAGAAGCACTAGAGGTGTGGTTATCTTCCAGATCGCAATTTAGGTATTTGGTCTATAGAGGGCAGTCTTGTCCCACTAAACATACCTATCCAGGAAAGAGTTAACTTTTCCTGGTGGCTATTTTGACGTCATTTTGCGTTATCTTTATAGCGCCATAATTTAAAATTTCAAAGGATTTCTTAAATTTTGTCCAGACTTAGCGTCTGCAATTCCTGCCATAATTTCTGATATGACAGATCATGAACTAAGTTTACCCTTTTCCATACAATGGTACCTTATATATATAGACAGTTAAATATTAAATTATTTAATCTTCTCTGTCACAATTGTCTGGGTTTAGATTTGATTATATTCCATTAGCACTTTAGACAGTCTATCCAACCCCCTTCCTTATCACTTGTTTATACTATGCATTCCTTAGCTCTGGCAAAGAGGCCAGTCTTACAGAAAGAAATCCTGTGTCTCTTTGTTTTTTTTTGAAATAACAAAATGGAGTCTGATCTGTTCAGAGTGACTCAGAATATACACTTTTAGTTTCTATCATAGCACAAAAATGTCTGCCGATATAAATACTCTGACAGGTCGTAAGGTACGGGGCCCCCTGAACCTTATCCGTGAGCACTGGGAGGGAGAGACTGAGAACGCTGGGGTCCCCATCGTACCATACGTGCTGGAGCTGAGGGACCGTATGGAGCAGTTGGCTAAGTCAGTTCGGGCCAACCTCCAGGCGGCCCAGGGGCGACAGAAAGTCTGGTACGACAGGGGGGCATGGCGGAGGAGCTTCTGTATAGGACAGAAGGTTATGGTACTCAAACAAGTTAAAGCAGACAAGCTGCAAGCAGCCTGACAGGGACCTTACCAGATAGTGGAGAAAAGGGGGGACACTACCTATGTGATTGCCAGCTGTCACGATGAGAACCTACGGAAGATATGTCACGTGAATATGCTGAAAGAATACCTACAGAGGCCAGAGGAGGTGTAAGCCATATGTAGTCCCACATTTGAGGACTCAGATAGTCTCCTCATACCCGACTTATTGACCCCCAACTCCCTGTCTGAAGTAGTGAACCAAGTACAGATCGGGGGCCAGTAGAGAGGGAGCAGCTACACAAACTGCTCTGAGAGAAACAAGCAATGTTTTCTCAGGAACCTGGGTGCACCGATCTGGCCACCCACCAAGTAGATACCCCCAGGCAAACCCCTTTAAGACAGGCCCCCTACCGAATCCCGGAGGCAGTTCGGGCGGGCATGAAAAAGGAGATAGATGAGATGCTCCGGCTAGGGGTCATTGAAGCTTCCGATAGTCCATGGGCACCCCCGGTGGTTCTGGTACCCAAGAAAGAAGGTACTACCAGATTCTGTGTGGACTATCGGAAACTCAATGACAAAACCGTCACCGATGCTTATCCATGCCCAGAGTGGATGAGCTGCTGGACCGCATAGCCAGGGGGAACTACCTAACTACCATTGACCTCTGTAAAGGTTATTGGCAAATCCCTTTGGCCAGGGAAGCTGTCCCCAAATCAGCATTCGTCACCCCGTTCGGTTTATACCACTTTAAGGTCCTGCCGTTCGGGATGAAGAATGCCCCCGCCACATTCCAGCGCTTGGTGGACAGACTCCTTGATGGCTTCCAGGAATTTGCCTGCGCATACCTGGACGACATAGCGATCCATAGTGAGTCCTGGGAGGAACACTTAGCTCATGTGGGAATAGTCCTGGATCAGATTCGGGCCACAGGCCTGACCCTGAAGCCAGAGAAATGTCACTTTGGGATGGCTGAGGTACAGTACCTGGGCCACCGAGTAGGATGCGGGAAGCAGCGACCGGAGCCGGCTAAGATAGAGGCGGTCGGAAACTGGCCCACCCCACACACTAAGACCCAAGTGCTAGCTTTCCTGGGTACCGCCGGGTACTACAGGAGATTTGTACCCGAGTATAGTGCTATTGCGAAACCCCTGACCGACCTGACAAAGAAAAACCTTCCCCGACAGGTCCTGTGGTCTGCCCACTGTGAAACCGCTTTCCAAGCACTCAAAACTGCTTTGATTAATGCTCCTGTCTTGGCTGCCCCAGCCCCTAATCGACGTTTTATTGTTCATAAAGAAGCTTCCATGTTTGGGCTGGGAGCTCTCCTCAGCCAAGTAGGAGACGATGGGAAAGAGCACCTGATTGCCTACATCAGTCGAAAACTCCTACCACGCAAAGTCAGCTATGCCGCGGTAGAAAAAGAGAGTTTGGCCCTGGTGTGGGCCCCCCCCTATTTGTATGGACAAGAGTTCACTCTGGTTACAGACCATAACCCGTTGGTGTGGCTTAACCGGGTTGCTGGGGATAATGGACGATTATTACGCTGGAGCTTATCTTTACAACCATTCAATTTTACCATCACCTACCGACCCGGAAAGCAGAATGGCAACGCCGACGGGTTATCCTGGCAGACTGACCTCAGCCCAGCATAATTTGTCAGTCTGGACAGCCTTAGACTGCCCCGAAAAGGGGTCAGACAGTGTCTGCCAGAGTGTTCCACAAAGAGGGAGCATTGTTACAAAAGACTCGAATTGACTCCGTTATTGTTACCACATGTTGTTACTGTTGCAGCCCTATACTTTTAACACAGAGAAACACAAATTGACTATACAAATCCTTATAAAGAACCATTCGTGATACGAACAAGAGACCCCCCTCAAACGCTGGCGTGTGCCGCCAATTAACCTCCTCACCCTGCAAAGTACCGAATGACCGGCCACCCGACAAGTGGAGTGTGGCGCCCATTAACCACCCAGGCGGCTGCGGTATGCGGTTAACCACAAACTAATTGACGGGCAAGGAGAATCGACGTTCGCCCACAAATCACCGAATGGGAACTACCGAACAACCTTACGAACGGAGACCTCCTACAATGGGTCGTGTGTCAGCAATTAGCCTGTGGTTTCTGTGGTTAACCGCAACTCAAGTACCATGCTACCAGGCGGTCCTAATTCGTATACCGAACGCTTTCTACTACCAGACAGACAGCGGGGATTCGCATGAACCTATACCCGAGTTCAGTTCCATAAGTTGGAGGCGAGGTCCCGCTACTCGTTAAACCGTCTAAAAACATGGCCGCCATGAGGGACTCACGACCCAAAATACCGAACAGACTTTATACGGCAGAAATTGCTCATTCTGTTCGCGGGATTGGAGCGCCATTCGTATATTTAATGTACCCGAACGTGAGCAATTGAATGTGTGGTAGAATGAACCGTTTTCCCCTATTAATGTTGAAGTTATGTATTTTTATACCGTTTTATGAGGCATAATAAAACGTCTTTTGTGCGCTTGGAGATAATAAGATTGTATAACCGTTGGCTTCATTATCTCCAAGCTGGGCGGGTACTAATTCAAATGATACACTGTACTGTGATTGGTTACCTGTTTGTACTGTACCTGTATGCTATCAGGTCCACAGGGGGCTGTCCTTGGACCTGAGGAATTGCATAACTTGCCATGTTTGTGTGCCAGTAAAGTTAGTTTGTTTTGACCCTCAACTTGCAGCATCGACTCATGTTGTAGGGATCCGGGATATTGATGCTTATACAGTGTTTGGGATATTCTACACTTGCAGCTTTTTACTGAAGGAACTCCGTTCGACTCTCTACTGCGGGAACTAGGACATCCAAGCGATCAACCCCCCTGCTAGACCGGGGGCAATCGTAACACTCCTCTTCTCCTCCCCGTCGGCTGAATGCGCACGCGTGGCAAGAGCTGCACGCGCATTCAGCCGGTCACATAGGAAAGCATTCATAATGCTTTCCTATGGATGCTGGCGTGCTCTCACTGTGAAAATCACAGTGAGAAACACGCAAGCGCCTCTAGCGGCTGTCAATGAGATAGGGGAAGGCTTAACCCATTCATAAACATAGCAGTTTCTCTGAAACTGCTATGTTTATGAAAAAATGGGTTAACCCTAGCTGGACCAGGCACCCAGACCACTTCATTAAGCTGAAGTTGTCTGGGTGCCTAGAGTGCTCCTTTAAAGAAACAGTTATGACAAACAATATGTTCCATTTCTAACACCTTGTCAGTTTGCAATATCTCTTAAAGACAAAGTACACAGTTTAAGAAATACAACATTTCATTCTAAAACTTGTAATATTTGCATTTGCCCATAACACATTGAGTGTGTGTTAGAGATGCATTGTGTTTCTGTGTGTGTAAGAAAAGCAGTGTGTGTGTAAGGGTTTGCATTGTGTGTTTCTGTGTATGTGTGCAAAGGATGCATTGTCTTTGTGTGTAAGGGTTGCATTGTGTGTGTGTAATGGATTAATTGTGTGTTTCTCTGTGTGTAAGGGAAGCATGTTGTGTTTCTGTGTGTAGGGATGCATTGTGTGTTTCTGTGTATGTATAGGGATGCATTGTGCGTGTGCGCGTAGTGTGAAAGAGCTCCCTGTCTTGCCCCCTGTCCTATAGAGCTGTCCCTTCTGTCCCTTAGAGCTCTCCCCTGCCCCTTAGTGGTCTCTCCTCTCCCCCACCCTCCCTGTGCTCTTCTCATCCACACTCCCTGTGTTCACCTCACCTCCTCCCTGTGTTCTCCTCACCTCCCCCATCCCTGTGTTCTTCTTATCCGCTCTCCTCCCTGTGTCCTCCTCCCCTTCCCCTCCCTGTGTTCTCCTCACCACCCACCCTCCCTGTGTTCTTCTTATCCGCTCTCCTCCCTGTGTCCTCCTCCCCTTCCCCTCCCTGTGTTCTCCTCACCACCCACCCTCCCTGTGTTCTTCTCAGTCCCCCCCTTCTCCTCACCCTTACTCTCCCCCCTCCTCCTTGTGTTCTTCTCACTCCCCACTTGTTCTTCTTCCCCCGTTTTTCATACCCCCCTTCTTCTTACTCTCCCCCTTCTTGACCTCTCCTCTCCTCCCTTCACCTCTCCTCTCCCCCTTCACCTCTCATCTACCCCTCACCTCTCCTCTCCCCCTCACCTCTCCCCTCATCAGCATTATTTATTATATATTATTTTTTGTGTGACAGTGTGTATTTATTTTTCCTTGCAAGAAAGGGATTTTTTTAAATTGGTATATTAAAAGTGACGTTTTAATATAAATTTTTTTACCACTATATTAGAGTGTTCCCCTGGATGATACTACTCAGCACTAGCACCTCCAACCTTTCTCTTCTTTTTCTTGTCACTAAATAGGGGTTATCCCCCATGGAGGTACTAGTAAATTAAGGCTCC